CAGCATATCACCCTCAGACTGACGGTCTGACAGAACGGACTAATCAGACTCTCGAAACATATCTTCGGGCAGTACTGCTCTTATCAGCAGGACGACTGGGTCGATTACCTCCCTCTCGCAGAGTTTGCATTCAACAATCTCGAAAACTCATCACTGAAACAGACCCCGTTCGTCGCCAATTATGGCTTCCATCCCACTTTCGAGCCACGCGTCACTGAACGTTCCACTGTTCCCGCAGCCGCTGATCTAGCAAGTCGTCTCGAGCAAATTCACGTGGAATTGCGCGCAGAACTCAAACACGCGCAAGCCCTACAGTCCCAGTATTATGACGAAAAACACCTTCCAGCCCCAGAACTCCAACAGGACCAGCTCGTCTGGTTACTCCGTCGCAACATCAGAACCACACGTCCCTCCGACAAACTCGACCACCGTCGGCTCGGTCCTTATCGCATCATACGCAAAATCGGCACTTCTTCTTATCACTTACAACTACCTACTTACCTTTCACGCCTTCACCCCGTCTTTCACGTTTCACTTTTAGAACCTTACAAGGACCCTTCAGAATTCCACCCACACTCAGACCCTACTCCTTTCGAACTTCTTGTTGACAACGATCCTGCACTTTCCATTCACTCTATTTGCGACTGCCGAAAGGTTGGTCACCGTTACGAGTATCTTATTCACTTCAAAAACTCCTCCGATTCCGAGGATGCATGGATTCCTCTTTCCGATATTCCTACTACTTACAACGAGTTACTCGAACGCTACCATAGACGCCATCCACAAGCACCTAGACCCCATTCCATTGTACTAAACCAAACTTTCTCTCTTTCTGATACAGGTCCTGCCGCGGATCCTCTCTCCGGTGTCGATCGTCGCGATCCACCTTCGAACAAGACGTTCGATCACACGGATCCGTCTTGCGTGGTGTCCGAGGTATCTCCGCCTTCGATCGATAATCGCGGTGGAAGGAATTTGGTTAGTGTTAGCCCCGTCGCTCCCGTCGCTCCTGCTGCAGTGCCCGCTGCCGTTCTACGTCCCTCCAGTCCACCACCCGCGCAACAGAACTTACGTTCTGAGTATGTGCCGCCTTCCCGCACTACCACGCGCTCTGGACGAATCTCGCGCCCCGCCACTCGTCTTGATTTGTAACTCCTTGCACTCGTCTCCTCAGAAGGGGGATGATGTGAGGGTTATGGATACCCTCACCTATAATTCACTTTACTTGTGTTTCCATCGTTTACAGTCACGTTGATTCCGATTGCGCCATTCTCGCGCCATCTAGATTACCTAAGCGTAGTAGAAGTTTTCCTGTCGTCTGCTGCCTTGTACTCTCTTGCGGATTCAACGCCAGTGATTGGCATCCTACTCATTCTTCCGGTCCTCGTCTCATTCCTCGACTCGTCGGCATTCTATTCTCGTCTTAGTCGTGACGTTGCCCGTCACAAACAGGTTCGAACCTATTCACCGTCAGCCGAACCCCGAACCTCTGGAGAGGTTCAGTCTTGGCCTGGGACCAGACCATGAGTCCAGTTCGGAAAGGTTCAGGTTCAGAACCGGACTGTGACAGCACTACTCCCAGCCAGTGAAGATATACCACCCTCCGCATCCATGTTAACAGGTACTTCCTTGATGGCAGCATTTACGCTTCAACTCATGAACTTGGCTCCAGCCTTCCGCAGAATCCTCATGCAATGCGCAACAACACTCCATGGTTCTCGTCATCCCGTTCGGGATTCAACATGCTCGTCAAATCAAAGTGCTACCCCTGGGATAGGAAATGAAGTCATTTGTTATTTTCGTGGTTTTCCTGGCACTCTCCACCTGAATCTACCCTACAATCAGCTAAATGGACTGTGATAATCCTTGAGATTGTTTTTTTGCCTTTGACCTTGTGTCAAAATTTTATACGTAGTTAGTATTGAAAAACGTCGAAGTGTCTGCGCGCGATTTCTTTTCTGCGTGCGTGCGTGAAATTCCCGCGTGCACGTGATTTAATTATGGTGCAAACGGCCCACCATACGCCCACGGCACACTGCGAGCGCGCAGCTGCAGACTTAAGTACGGACTTAGCGTTTCGAGAATTCGAAAGTGCAGATACGAGGGTGTTATCTACTGAAAACGCGAGTCGCTGCGCTACGTCGGGAATATTTTATGATCACATGAGATTTTCGTAAAATATAGGGTGCCAACAACAATGTTAGGGTCAAGTGCCTCTGCGGCGCGAAGGTCCCGAACCATTACGAGAAGTACCTGCACGCCGTTTGGCCTTCGTCTTAGCACGAGTATTGGTAGCCGGTGGGCCTGACTTGATCTGGAGCTGCTCAGAGGTAGCTTTCCGCTTGACAGCTTTGGATGCCTTCTTATACCACGCGGCATAGCGGCGGTATGCAGTTTCACGCATAGCGCCCGCAATCTTTGTGATGATGTCGTCTTTCCTGATGCGAAACTTGATGGTGGGATCCTGTAGGGCAACAACATCAACGTCGGGATCAATGGCCTTAGCCATCGAGATGATTTGTTCCCTCATGGCCTCCACTCCTTTCTGAATCATATCCATGACTGAGTCCATATTGTCCACGGGGTATAGAGTCTGTGAAAAACAAACATATCACTTGAATGTGAATGTTGAGACAAGATTGGCTTACCCCCTCCGCCATCAAGGCTGGATCACGTGTCTCAAGGTTTATAGCTTCGTCCCCCCTCACCCAGACCACAAACTCCACCGACTCCACCGAGCACCATGTGTAACCCTCAACAACAACGGGTACGTCAAGGGTCGGGAGTACGTTTGACCCAGCGATGAAATCCTTGGCCGAGCGAATCGACCCATCTCTCATGAATGCGAGCCGCGCAGGTGAGTTCTTCGCGGGTGAAGAGTAGCGTGCCCTCTCGGTCACGACAGCCATGATCAACGTCAGTAAGGATGGGTTAGCGGCAAGCGCCATCTTGAATTTCTCCATTAAGGCGTCAATGTGTTGTGAAAACGCGGTCTCCCCAATGATAGGGATGACAACTTCCGCTGTAACGTCTTGCATATTTTGAAACGATACCCTCAAGTCCGGGACAAGAGAGTCGGATGCCTCGATGTTGCTCAATACATTTGCATTGATTGAAGCGCGATTAAAGGGCAGATTGTCGAAGAAGCACGTGAAAGCAGAGTGTAAGGCGATGAGTGGAGCTTCGTGGACCGCTGACGGCATCTCAACTATGAGGGTGCTGTCGGTGTCTATATAGGACAATCTGTAGCGTTGCAATAAGAATTAAGTGATAAATTGGTATGAGTTGAAGACGCACCTGGGCTTCAAGCCAAAATTATGGTTGTCTTCGATAAAGCGTACGATTGCTTCGAATTCCTCACGCCAGACCCCAGAAAACTCCTACAAGTGACAATGCAGTCAGCGCCACTGTCATAGATGTAGGTCCGTTGATTTTATGATAGAGACTTACCTCACACTCGTGTTGACGGTCTGGCTTTGCGATGAAGCGAAGCACCTCCTGGCCCACACGGATAGCTTCAGAATGGGAGATTAGAGGTTACATGATCTGCATGTTGTTTGCATTGGGTGCTTACCTGCTAGTGAAAGCTCGGGATTGTCCCGTGAAAACCGATTAAAACTATCCAACAGCTGATCCAAATGATCTGATGGAGAAAGTGTAGTCAAAAGCTTGCACTCGGGTGGACTAGGTGGATAACTTTTGATGGAAGATCCAACTGCAAAGGTGTCTTCAACTACCAGGTCTCTGACCTCGTGGATTTTGCGTTCTGATTTCATAAGGCTTTTTGCATGGTATTTGGAGTCGTTATTGGCGGAAATGCTCTCCAATAAGAAAGTGTGCTTGACGATAGCAGTCGACATGATGGCTTGTGCCAGATTTTCAAATCCCATGACTTATTTACATAAAAATCATACAACATGTCCAGTGGCATGCTTATCTAATTGGGATTCAGACGTCCACTAGATCAGTACTGACAACTCCGCAGACGTCTACTGTACAAAGCAACATGCTTGTTTATACTTTTCAGGTGAGTACAGCACGCACAAAGGAGAATGAAGGAGGTTAAGAAAGGAGCGGTTCATGGCGGTTAGATGTACAAGCAATGTTCTGTAGTATGAATATATTTCATTTAGATTCCAGACGCAAATTAGAACCTAGTTTACTCACAGATGACACCAACTCCATGTGATGTTGTAAATCGAGCGAGGCTGCGCATGGACAGCGCATGGTCTACTTATCAGGATGGCCCGTGAAGGTCTGGATGAGTGCGGTATGCGGCATCATGAGATTCTTGGTAATAGATCAGATGTATGATAGATAACACACTTACTAGCTTTGGTTTACTCTGGATGACAGTGTGTGAGTCTGAGTCTGAAGAGTGCGCTGAAGAACCAGCGGAGTACATGGTAAGAGAGAAAGCAAAGTAAGCAAGCAGAGCTCGGGGCCGTACTATACAATCCAAAATAATATGGTGTAATATTTATCATGTTTGCCCAATATGGCAATATGCCTAATCGAGCAGTACCCCCAAAATAAAACTAACAGCCGGACAACAGCCGGAGGCGAAGTAGTCTCTTACGCGTCGTTGCCGCGTTCTTTCAACGTTTTTCAAGTTAGACGCATAAGGCAATACTGCCTGATTCAGATAGCTCCGATTTGGGGACAATACACTCCGATACAACTCCGATATATTTTTGATAGGGGCCTTTTTCCAGCGAACTTTTTGTAGGTCTCGAAGGGCATACAGTGCCGGTGATATATAGCAGTAGTAGTACCGGTAACACTAAAGAGACTAGCTTTTTTCTAGTTCTAAAATATCTACGTAACGACCCCACATCTCTGAATGCGTCGAGTCCCACTGCAAATTGGCGAGTTGAATCAGGACGTTCAGTTCAAGTCCTTGACTCAGTTGTGCCACTATCGAAGACAATTCTTCCTCATGGTCTGGCACTTTTCTGACTGACTCCAGCTGGGGTGAAAATACCAGGGGCGAAAACGACTCAGGAAGTGGTGTCTGGGGTTGCAAGGATAGTTGTGGTGGGGATGGTGTTAAGGATGGCGATGGAGACGGCAATGGAGACGGCGGTGGAGGCGGTGGTGGAGACGGTGATGGAGACGGCGGTAAGGACGGTGGTGGAGACGGCGGTAAGGACGGTGGGATAGACACGGTTGACGTGACGGTGGTGGCGCTTCTGGCTGCATAATTTCCGGTTGAGGGGTTATGAAGAAGCGAAACTTGCTAGAGTTCTTGCTATGGGGCGCAAACTGAGACTGGAAAGCCCCTCCAACAGTAACGTCCCGGCTGTACTGTTGTCTGCGGTAACCATGGCCAGCCTGAACCATGACTTGTGTCGCAGGATCGAATGAAACGCTAACAAATCTGGTTTTCTTGCCACCTGCTATAGCATGTTGTGAGTGAATATTAGTGTGATTTCAATGGTAAAAAAATGCACCTTTGGGCATCTTCAACGAAGACCGTTACAGCTGCGGCAGATGAAGACGGTAAACTGGCTGCCAGAGTATTATAAATTGGATTCCAGGGTATTTAAACCTAGGCGGCGATCTCGCCAAGCCCTCGCGTTGGAGTATGTAACATTACAAAGTCTGGACTCGTGTTAGGACCAAACACATTCAATTGAATACACAGGGCTAGAATTGCAGCATTAATCGGCTCGATCCAATTAGCACTCCTGGACATTGCAACATCCGTAACACGTTGTGTCAGGGAGGGGGTAGCTGCATGTCAGTGAGCCAGAGCCGATGGAGAAGCAAACACTGTGATAGAATGTGAGTCTAAGTTTCAATTAATATAAGACTTACCAGTAGAAAATCGAGTAGGGAACCAGAGTCAGATGCTGCAGAAGTAGTGGAGCCTGTGAAAATCATGCGAGCCATATTTTGAGCGATCCTCAGATGGACTCAGAAGAGCTGGACCTGGATGAATTTGTATGTGCAGGGCCACCTATTAATCGATTCTGACAGGATGTACCATTCACAAATTCAACGTAATCGACAGTGATTTCATTCATCGTCTGCCACAGTGGACCGAGACATGTATGATGGGTGACGCGGGGTGACGGGCTTATCAAGTGAATTTGCGTCTGGATTAGGTTGCAAACCTGGAAGGCCATCAAAATTTTACCAGTCATGTGGATCCGATCGGAACAAAATCTGTCAGTCACGTGATATAAACATCATGCTGTGTAGTGGTTGATTTTGTAGTACGCACAATGAATGAAGGGCGCCAGTGGACAACATTCCCCAGTGAAAAGCGCAACATTTGTCTCGCGAAGTCCAATATTATGTCATTGCGAGGTACGAAGATTGTGCAGCTGCACCCCAAAGTTACATAAACTGTTGGGGCAGAATTTTCGTTGCCCCACCTTAGACCTTTCTTATCCGGGATCCCCACCATCACCTTAAACCTTTCTTCTCCCCACCATCTTCCCGCCTCCAAGTTAAAGGTCCCACCATTCTCCTCCATTGGTTCCGCCTTGTGAGTGTCTCATGTGTCGTTTATCTGGAGATATGATTATACTGACCGCACGAGTTTAGAACAGCGAGAGCTACTCTATCGGTGCGTGACTTTTTTGTTGTTTTGTTTGTTGATGCTGTTCTAATTGTTCGCTCGCAACAGATTGCCAAAGATTCTTGGACCTCGGGCAAGTCAGTTTGCGAAGTCCAACTCTACTAGTGGACCTTTCTTCATTCCGATCTCCCGCATCTTCCCTGTCTGTTCTCTTCATCTATCCAAGTCTCGTATCCATCAGGATGATTTTTCACGTCATTGTATTCCGTTCGGTTTCCGTGCTATCATTATATCCCGCTTTCGATACCGCCGCTATGGAATACCTGCATTTTGTAGTACTATATATACTAGTTTTGCAATGATATCATAATTAACGAGCTACGAGCATATTCTGTAAGGCTAGGAAAGTGTGCGCTAATATGCACAGATATGTTTCAATTATGTTTTGTGTGAAAAAACATACGAGGACATTACACAGACTGCCCCGTCTCTTTACATTTTTCTCATTCTCGTGCGCTGCATGTTCTGAGGCTCTCGTATATGCTTTTCTCTCCAATACAAAAAATAACACGTCACGACATCTACGAGCCTCTCCGGTAAGGTCCAGTTTTCACTGGGATTCATTCACAGCAAGTACAATATTAATATCTTGAGTCTTGACGAACCGTTTGCACTGTATACTGGTGTGTCCAACATTCGATGAAATGTTTTCTTGTGTCTGAACAACTTAGTACTGTTGCAGTAGCACAACGTTGCGCACAGTACTGCATTGGCCTTACACAAGCTGCTCAGAGCGCTGAGCGCTGATCGATCGATCACTCACAACTTACCGCCACTTCCGAAATCGGGGTCATGGTCCTCGGTGTTCCTTTCATGCGTAACGTTTACACCGTGCTTGCATACGAACCCTCACCCTTTAACATCTCTGTCTACACTGGAATCCGTCCAACAACGGGACTGGAAAGTATCCGAGTATACTTTTGACTCAAACGGGACGCTTGTTGAGCCAAATCTACTCCCTCCTCCCCAATTTTTTCGGCTACCATCCATCGACGAACCCCGTATGAAATCAGTCGCTTGCCGGAAAGCTTTTATGTGCGTTATGATACTATTGTATTGTGATATTTTGAGTGACCCACTCTTCGGCTCCGTCCTTTCATGTCCTCATTAGGCTAATATCCTCATTAGGCTAATGTCCGTATGTGGTTAATTGTCCTTTTATGTCTCGACCATTTAGCGCAGGTGCACACTATAAAGCAGGGTGTTCTTACCTTCATCTTCTCTACAATCCTCTCCAACATCACTCGTTATTTTCTCTTGCGCGTTGCTCTTCATTTTTTGCTCTTACTCACACTCTTTATTTGTCTGGTTCACCGCACCTAACATATTTCACTTTTACCATGTCTGCGGCAGAGCATGACCAGCACAATCGGACCCACACACTCCCACTCCCAGACCTCTCTGGTGCCGTCCCGACCTCCACGGAGGCGAGGGCAAAACGTCGTATTGCCGCTCTAGAAGAGGAGTTACAGATGATGAAGCAAGAAAGAGGAACAAAGCAAAGGTTCGTCACCCATCTTGCTCGCTATATGCCTCTTGTTCATTGATCCTCAAAGAAAGACCACATACTATGTGTCTCAAGGCCGGGCAATCCGCCGCATGGTGGTCCTTTATGCCAACATTGAAAACTTAATTGCGGAGAACGATCGCAGATGTGAGGAGAGCTGGGAGAATTCTACTCCGGAGCATGTTTTTTGTTTTTTGTTTTGTTTTATCATATGTTTAATTCTGTGATATAGCCAAAATCGCTTGCAGCGTGGTTATTTCGCGCTGGTGCAGACTCTGCCATGGATGCATGAAAAACTTGCAGAACTCGACCCCGATGATGTCGAGGATATGATGAAAAAGGTGCGAGTTCTCCATTGCCCAACTTTTCACACCGCATACTGATAATGTTTAGATTAAAAGAGGAGCGGATGCGGCCCGCGGTGATGATACCTCGACTCTCAAGGACTTGGTTGCCGCCTGGGTCAATCAAAGCTTTCATCCGTCCAACCTACTAAAATCTGATGACAAACAGTCGCGCGGCTTCATACACGAAGTTTGTGGCAAATTACTCTGCCCTGCTGAGTGGGATTGGAGTAAGGACTGGTGAGTATCAATTTTCGTTGATTATTACGTGACGCTGATAGGCTTGGGCAGCGTGAAAGCAGGCATTCGCGACCGAACATCAGATTATGTTGTGTCGGAGAATTCTTGGCCGCTCTTTGTGTATGAGAACTACTCAGTGAACAGTAGCGACCTCCAGCAAGGTCTTTTCATGTCGAAAATTTTGGTTCAGGTTAGTAGTTTGGAGTAATAGTCGTGAATACTTATAACATTTGTTATGGCGCTAGGCTTTTAAAGCCACCTTTACGTCTCCGTCATCGGCAAAAGAAGCTGATGGCGATGGTGACGGAGCCGATATCCTCGAGAACAACAGGCGCGCGCGGCGGGCACTAAATCAAGTCAAGGTAAAAACGTGCGTGGCCTCGATAATCAATATGAGGAAAGTTACACCTCGTTCTATCGCTTATGTCGCCTGTCAAGTCAGTTAAAATAATCCCCCATTGATGTCTGGCTTACCATCTTTGTCTCCCAGGTTCGGTTTTCGCTATCCAACATCTCGTCTTGGCGCACCATCGACGGTGACTTCGACTACGAAGCATTCTGGAACCATATCGTGGATTTTTTCGAGGACGTACCTGGCCCTGTCGCACGACGTAGGGTGACTACACTTCTCGAATGGTGGACGAGGTATTTACAATTTTGTCACATATGTTCAGATATCTAACCTAACTGTTTAGGAAGGTTTTTGGAAAAAATCATCGCGAGGACCTCACGCCGGAGGTAGTATCCAAAATGTCCGTAACAGCACTAGCAGAGCAACGAAAGGCACTGGAGGATTCCGTCTTTGATTCGGACTAGCTCAATCATTATTTTACCTTCCGTCATTGTATATACGCTTTGCTATATCATTGTCTCTTAATAATGCAATCATGATGTCGCATTCACCGTTTATAATTAGGATTGACTACCATTTGACGCACTGATGATAATAGTAGCACTGATACATTAAGTCCATAATGTCCAGCATGCCATTCACCGCTAAAATTATGTTTTCTGGACATGCTCTATATAATTCACTCATTCACGACTGTGATAACAAATGCTCCGATGTGAAATACTTCTGGTAGAGGACGTCACTCGCAGTCTCCACCTGTAGGGTATTAGTTGATAATCCTAGACATGAGAGGCGCACATTTGTAGGAGATGGAACTATGGTGGATGTGGGGATATCAGGATGAATTTCAGCAGAAAGTCGAGTTAACGGACAATATTATCTCCTAGTAACAATCTATCCTCCTCATTAAGATGCACAACTCATTCAATATGTTACGTTGTCTGAAGTCACAGACAGATCGGTACCCGAATGAAACTCTAACATATCTTATCACCTCCTCGCAACTCCAACCTCTTGTCATCCAGTCTCCAAGGGGTAAATTGTTCTGCCAAACAAAATGTATTGTATCCAGCGCTCAAGTGGGACGAAGGAATAATTTTTGTTGCCATTTTTTGTCTTTCCCAAGGTTGATCGGGACAATCTGTCTGGCTCTGCAAAGCCAATTCCGCAACCACGCACCTTCATGTTCATTGCATCCATACTTCCCATCGAATGATTTTTCCCATCTTGTTTAGAACTACCACCAACCTGACCGTCCCGCAGTGTTGCTTTATTATCTGCTGTATCCCTCATTTTAGTCAAACACTCTGTTGTTGCGCAGACAGAGCACAAGAAGTACGTGTTTTCACATCTGATATCTTGTTCGGTGTTGGTCCTATCAGCTAATAAGAATTTTGCTATGCCCACACTAACCATAGTTCCCCCACTCGCTAAGTGCACCTCTTGTGTTAGAGTTTGCAGATTGTGTTTTTGATCAAGGAAATCTGACTTTTGTATTGTTTAGCAGAAAATTGAGCGGCATCACCATATCTCGTTCGATACGGCAGCTAGACCGGCGGCTTACGAATATTCATGCAATCTCATGATTGCGAAGATTGGACATCACAAGGAAGATTATATAGAGCTTCCGGTGCCATAAGTTGAGTGCACTTTTGTAGGCTGTGCTGGTATACCGTCATTGACCAAATACTTTGATGTCGGATATGATGTGAGACAATGGTGGGACTCCAAGCGAAGCACATGATAAACATTTCAGTCAGTTCAGGCGAGCTTGTGACACGTATGGGTCGAGGGACCTGTGTTTTACCAACCGAATAGGTTGTCCAATGTAAACTTCGCATTTTCTCATTACGCAACCAAATATTAACAGCAACAATTCACAACTGGCATGAAGAGTTATGTCTTTTGCGCCAGGCATATTGTGTTGTAGATTGTCGCATGACGAGAGGACCTCGTGCTAATAGTAGTTACTAACTTTTGGGCTTGTTCGGATAACTACGGACTTGCGTTTTACTCCGTTGACTGGAGTCTCATCTTTCATTTGCAGGACAATTAAAGCAGATGATGATTCGTTGGACCTAGGACAACTGGGTTGGTTACCTCAAAAATTAATCGTTCCTACATAAAGTCATGTAACGCTCCCCGCAACATTGTGGAGGATTGTTGCGATTGTTATTCATATATAGTCTAATATGTTATTTTAATATGTTCATCGGTTTACTGATGAGGTGCATCACGAAGGTCTATCCAAATCATCACCGTATATTTCGTGTTGCAAGCAAAGGCTGTCGTCCCCAACACAAACGTGATGAGCGTGTAACAAAGAAGCACACGACGATTATTTGCAATTTTCTCCCCATTACGGGGACGTTGCATGAGAGCAGTCACGGCTTGTACTGTAAGCAGCAGGTATGCCCCTATTGTGGTACATCAGTCAACTATCAAATCATTGCATGTCAATCTGAAACGCACCGTAGGATACACCCCCCAGCACCATTCCAATGAGACGAGACCGTTCAAGTGACAAATTTGTATGTGGAGTATAGGATGACATGACTCAAAATGTGGGCCGGAAAGAGGCGTCTTAGTATCTGGCACTGGCAAGCGATAAAATAAGCACATATATAGAGACTCAGAATAGAGTTTTCACCTGGGAGAAAGAATACATTGACTGGGAAACACTGCGACACCGTTAAGTCGAGACCCTTTTACGTGAAGTGATAAAGAGCCTGAGGGCGACACATAATTGATATATTGATACAGTCCTCCACAGTGCACTAGTGCCCATGGAGACTTTGACGTGAGATCGAACGAGATAGTGAGCAAATGTGGCTTCAGATGACTTGAACATAAGTTTCAAACTTCTTTATTTGTCAACGATCATCGTTCGCGGTTTGTGAATTGTGGATTAACTGCTCGTCAGGCTAAACCCCGGGCCCAACGATGTACGCACGCACACTGTTCATGCGCCTTGTTTCAGACTCACCCCATGCATATCACAGTATTCAAACCAAGCGAGCAAATACTCACCCAGTGACACACACCCTGGTAGGTGTACCTTAACAGGAACGAACTTCATCTATTTGGTCTGCTTGGTTCGGCAATGCAGGAGCAACTGAAATGCACTTGGTCGCTAATACGCTTTATGTGACTGGCGGAAAAAAGGTAAAATGTGACTCACTGGTCCCCAGGATATGGCAAATTAGGCTTTTAATTAAGAAGGTTTGACAGGATCGTAGTAGTACGGACTCGTAGTGATGGAAAAGTTCGGTCCCGAGGCCTGAACTGCGATTTGAACTGAACTTTTCCTCTGAACGCGTTCGAAACACTGAATGTCACCTTGTGAAGGCAGCTGTGTATGAGGCAGCATAACTAAAAAATTGCCAAGTTATGTAACGGACGGTAGCATTGAATGCGATATGAAGAAGCCTTAGGTAATCCGCTACGGGCCTTGCGGTATAACTTACTAATGGCTTTTGCGTGGGTGGCGGCAGCTTGCAACCACGTTCTGACGGCATGAAGTCATTGTCAGCAGAAACGACGTCTGGAGAATCGAGATACGGTCTCATTGGGAACATGTTGCATAAACTGACTGACCCATCCTGCATAAACCCTGCAATTGTGATACGATGCAATTAATCGAAAAAAAAACGTTCAGGTGTTGCAGGAGGTTGAACGTTGAACTTCAAACCGGAACTCGAAGAAAGGTGTCACAATGTCCACTGGCTCAGACCTTTACCGCCAGCTCCATTCAATCCATCAACGCCCCCTCATACACAAAACCCTAGACGAGCACTTCCTCACAGCTGCTTCGCAGTATTATTCTCCACCATCGCAATACTTCCCCTTCAGCCAGACGGGGCTGACGCCTCACACACTCCGTCGTTCGAACGTGGGGCAGAGATTCAAAACCAGTTCTTGGTATCCCACTTGATGTTGGGATGTACAAATGCGGTGTAAAGTGTGTGCATTGGCACCAATCTCGCACATTCGTTTCTGGATTGCGACATAAGCCTGATCTAGGCTCTCTGACGTGACCGCGACAGGGTCAGGGACCTACCACAATGCGATAACCATCGTGCTACAGGCTTTCAGGGGCGCTGCCGCTGCGTGTCTTTCAACCGTGCTGGGAATGAAGGATAACGGCCAGTAGAATCATTTCATTGACCACCAACAGATGCCTCTTCATGTCTGCATCGTCCAGAGCACTCGTCTGTACTTGCAGTCCCACGTCGTAGAGGTATCCTACCGAAACTATGCTGAGCTCTCTTTCGGCGGATATTTCTGTTACTTGCTTGGATAACCAGGGAGGGAGGCGTCTGCTTTAGAAACTTCAGGATTCTGAGATGCAGACAGGTGATGGGGAAGCAAAGCAGCTGAGGAGGCACGAGCCAGGAAGGCAACAGAAACACCGCTGGCGGTTGACGAAGAAGCTGAAATGAAGCAACCTGCAGCTGAATATCAGCGGCACATGCAATGACAAAGAATGATTGAAGTCGAAAAAGGGGCTCAACACTTTTGAAACGGCGCGGAGGAAATAGTGAAGACATAGAATTGCACGGGCGCAGCCCAGGAGTTTTTGATGTCCCATATGCACAGGGAAAACGTGTATGTTTTTTCTCCTTCTCAGACGTGACCTGACATTGTATAGAGGAATGCTTCAGCAAGAGAGAAACGGAAAACGAAACTATTACACCCTACTACGGGCAGCCGACGGTCTCCCATCCAATGCCACGCAGCAATCTAATCCGACTCAGACCCAGCTATCTTCGCAACTACAGGCATCTGTACCCAGTTCGTCAACCACTGTTATTGGTGATACCACCGCGGCTACAACCTCAACGACCTCGCGCCCTGATGTAATTCTCAGACAGGCTGGACACTGGACTCGCTTCTGGCTCTATCTTTTGTACGTCTCCCGAGTATATTAACGGTCATCATTAATCTACGATTTCCTCGTCCTTCGTTGATGCGCTTTGCCTGTGCTACTCACTCTGCCATATTTCGAACTGTCCTTTTGTTGATACCCCACGCCACGTCATCCCCGTCTACATTGGCGCATGTGTATCATAATGTTGGGCTCGTTGCTCGTGCTGTACACTCACCCACGCGAGCAGATACAGTGCACAGGTGACGGAGCGACTTACGACGACGGACATATGAATGTGAATGTCAACTGATTTCATTGAACAGACAAACCCTAGGTCTACATGCTTCTAGTATATGCGCCGGTCAAACATATTGTGGACAGGTACAGCTATTTTTCATGCACGCGGTCTTCCGAACTCACTCTGGTTGATATTTCTCGATGTTCATGAACACCCTCCTCATTCTTTGGGCCTTTTGGCTCATTCTGGATCGTAAGAAGCCATTGGATAACACGGGGTGCGAATTCGAATGTCTTGCCGTGCGCAATTGAATTTGAGACGAGAATTCCGGATGCAGAGCCCAGCGCGCAGTACAGAATTATCCTGAAGTTGCATGAGAAGCTTTGATGCCTCAGAGAACGAAGAACCAGTTCTGGAACGAATGATCAATATCGGTGCATTCCTACTCGCGAGTCGCAGTGTGCTTGAATATTACCCGTTCGACCAGCGAATTTGGTGCTGGGGTAAACCCTGAATCGTAAAATGGAAAGGCGTGCCTACGAATACAGGTGGGACTGACATCTCTCTGATCGCAAAAGTCCAGGGCAGACGAAGAAGACAACTCTATAAACTTAAGTAATAAATCGAGCACGCTACGCTATACACACTTATGCTTCCGCCAACTTCGCCGAAACAGAACACGACTCAAGACTGTCCTGATCTGGCCTAGCTTCTTGTACAATATTTCCGGCTCCTTCTGATGTGTTCGATATAGTCCCTGCGAATGCTAGAGTCGTAGGTGCTGCAGTAACTCGGGTCGACCACTCATGTGTAACTGCCCTTCCCCGTGCCACACGTATGATGATGAATAATTGTGTAATGCCCTGGTTTTGTTGAAAGAAAGAAGCTAGCATCAGAGACGCAGATAACTAAGGTTTCTGCCTGCTTACCTGAACTTGGATTGTAGACAGGAAGCATATAGTGGAGAGAGCGTATGAATGCACAGCAAATGCAACTATGAAGATTATGATGAAGACACTGAATCCCATGGCGGACTCGACGACCATGCGGATGATGGCATCGTAGGTGCTAGAATCATATTCATTCAATGCCTGCTTCATCTGGCTTCGTACGTTGAGCAAACATTTCGCCACGAGAATGGTATAAAGTATGGTGTGCGCCACTTGGAAGGCGAGGAATGCAAGTGTGGCGTTGATTTTGTAATATTGGGCCCCGGTACCCGCCTGGACCAAGACGAAAATGGCTGCTCCTGCTCAAGATGTCAGTGACTACTACCGCTTGGTAAAATGTGTAACTGCACCAATCATGCCAATATAGATGGCGATCATGGGGACCATCACGTGTCTCGCCCAGTTCCATATCACAAAACATCGGTAAAGCTGGGTATATTTCAAGTGTCAGGCTTGCACATGTGGCAAACTATTCGACTCACAAGTAGGGCTTGCATCAAGCACTCCGAGATGTAACCACTAGATGAGACCATTAACACTGTTTGTAGATTGATAACCAAATATGCATACCACAATATCGCCAGAAAGTTGATACGGTACTGCATTACGTTCACGATCAGCGCGACGGGACCACCAGGTGCATCACGAAGGTCTATCCAAATCATCTCCGTATATTTTGTGTTGCAAGCAAAGCTTATCGTCATCAACGCAAACGTGATCAGTGTGTAACAAAGAAGCACATGACGATTATTTGCAATTCTCTGCCCATTACGGGGACGTTGCATGAGAGCAATCACGGCTTGGACTGTAAGCAGAAGGTATACCCCTATTGTGTTACAGAAGTCAACTACCGAATCATTGTATGTCAACCGAAAACGCACCGTAGGATACACCCCCCAGCACCATTCCAATGAGACGAGACCGCTCAAGCGACAAATTTGTCTGTGGAGTATAGGAAGACATTACCCAAATTTTCGGGAAGAGGCGCCTTGGTAATCTGGCACTGGCAAGCGGTGAGAATAACTAGCAGGATAGTGTAGGGACGGCAAGAGAAGAAGCATATATATAGGGATTCGAAATAGAGTTTTCACCTGGGAGAGGAAATCCATCCACTGGGGACACACTGTGACACCGGTAAGTCGATCGAGACCAAGGCTTTTACGTGAAGTAACAAAGGGGGGAGACATTGATATAAGGTGGACTCGCACCCATTAAGAGTTTGACGTGGGATCGAACGACCTAAGCTCAAGCGTAGCTTCAGGTGCTGAACACAAGTTTCAAACTTCTTTATTTGACAAAGATCGTAGTTTGCTCTTTGATGAATTATGGATTAGCTGCTCGTCACGCTGAACCCGAACAACGTCTGCATACCGTTCATTAGATGCTTCTGGCGCCTATATCCGAGTCGGACCCACCCCATCCATATTGTAACATTCAACCAAATGAGCAAATACTCACCCTGGTTTGTGCTGGTATGTACAATATTTTTGTTCACCGCGTGCCTTAACAGGTACGAATGAGTTTGTCTTTGTCTACTTGGTCTGCTTGATCAGATGAATTAAAACGGTGTGGTTTGGTAATGCAGAAGCGAATGAGGTGTACTTGGTCGTTTCACACGCTTTGTGCGACTGGTGGAAAGAAGTCAAAATATGGATGTGGCTCACTGGTCCCCAAGAGTTAGGAAATTCGATGAAGAAGGTTGGGATTGTACGGAGGCGCGATCCATGTCATTGAATCCCATTTCCTGCAGGTAAAATTTGACTGCTTGCTGGTGAGTCATTTTCGCTGGATTGACGTCAGAGGTTATGTCAGACAATTGCTTCGTCCCAAGAACTGCGCAGAGGATCCCGACGGAGCGCCACAGAACGCGCCAGGGAGTGATGGCGATGGTGACGTTATACCCGAGGCAGTGGTATGACATGGAAGTTCAGGAAGATAGCGTGACATGGTGTCGACAAGAGATGCGATTTCGCCAATGTCATTTGTCAAATAGTCGTGGAATGGGCAGACCAGAAAGTCGTTGATTTGCGTCTGCAGAGCTTCTCTTATGGGTTCATATATACGCAAGCGTCCTGGAAGATCTGTCACAGCACAGTCAGCCACCCCAATGGCATGCATAATGGGTAAAGTCTATTAAACTTCTGATAGAGCTCAGAAAACAATATGAATACACGACAACGAAAGTACTTAGGGTCCAGTCTTGACGAGCCGTAAGGTTGATATGGTAACCCTGACATCAGCCGGTTCCAGCTAGGATCATAAAACGGTGTAACAGTGGTGTGGAAGCTACCACCGCTGACGCCCCACACCGTCATGACACTCATGCCAAGGGACAATCTCAACCCTCGGCTGTGATAATGTTGCATATCCCCAGTGGGAAGTCGACACCACTGTCGTAAAAGTTTGACATCCATAGAGAGCTTCAAACAGTTAGAAGTGAGTGATCCATCCGAAGCATTGGAGCACATACCTAACCCTAACACGAGCCGACTAACATCACGAAATGTGCCAAATCTTGCCAGACGGCGTGGGTGATTGACATGCCAGCTTCGGGTAGCGCATAAACTTGGTTATGTAGAACGAATGTCAGCTAGAGCTTGTTGCATGTTCGATGCTGCCCCGACAACGCCGCCGTGGGGCTTGCAACAATACAATAAAACCAGATCCGTGTCCACATGCGCATGACCTGATCATAAAATTTAGTAGAGCATCGAGCGAGTGTTACTAGCTTACCCTGGCAGCTGTCGGTCTCTGTCAACCCGCGGGGTTACTACAAGTGTGTAATTCATTTGTCCTTCCTGCGAACAGAGAGCAGCGTCGGGCTGGCACTCTATTCTCATGAACACTTTTCAGGCTATCCTACCGTCGTCCAACATAATCTCGATTCTCGATGTTAATAGGGTAGCTTCCCGCACTACCCTCGACGAGGACGCTGCCCAGAGGTCTAAAGACTGAGTACTCTCTCATGCCCGCGGTGTTGGACCTTGGTTGAAAGGCACTCTACGCACTTCCACCACGCAGCAGTGGTAAAGTCAATAAAGGCAGGAGCGGCAGGAACTGCCGTTGAGAGACAGTACGTGGTGAATGAGAATGAGATACGGGGATCGCGGGTAGGATCAAGTACAAATTGTAACGTGCCAGTAGGTCATAGTCTCCCCTAGCCAGACCATACAGAAGGAAGACAGTCATGTATGAATTTCATACGCTTACCCGTTTTTCACACGACGTAGAGCTTGCTGGCCATTTTGAATTGGTCTTACATGCGATCACAGCAGAACACAGCTAGGTTACTACGAGCACCAGGCAACAAAAATACAACATGTGCACAGTGACAAGGCAAAGGAGTGTGAGAGTCCGTCGAAAATGCACGGACACGAGGCATTTCCAAACCAAACGACCAGCCAGCCATGTATGTATCTGGCGAAGAAAGAAAAAGAAGTGAATCTGGGTGGAATGTAAAAGTCGCAGGACACGAGCGATAACAAAATATTCATAGGCATGTAGTGATTCAAATGGGGAGGATTGGTGACATTCACTTCGCAAGAGTCTCGATCTCTTGAGCTTCAACCTCGGCCACCTTCACCTTCTCGTCCGTGTATTCAGGGGGAGGCACAAAGTTATTCTCTGCATCATGCTCGAACATGATGAATCCGTGACCGACCTCCTCCGGTCTCTCACCTCTGACGGTGCGATACACGAGAACAGACATTACCCAGAACATGCGAAGCAAGACACCGATGCCGCAACCTTTGCAAGGAAATCAGAGGGATTTTAGCAATACAAGAAAACACTCACCAAGAACGAACGCAACAGCGCGACCCTCCCATAGGCTGAGGGCCATGATGGCGCGGTGAACGCGCCTAAGGAAAGACCCAGCTTTCTTGTGCTTCATGTCATGATGGCTGTGGTGGTGTGATCCAGCTTCATGGTGGCGATGGTGGGATTCACCTTCATGGTGGCGATAAATCCGCACGACGGATCCGTCAGGAAGGAGCTCCTTGACATCGCCTGAGTTCTCCTCCTCAGAGGAACTGGCAGGGACTTTGGGTGTAATGGGTGTCCCAAACAAGGGCATGGGAAGGATATGAACTCCAGGACCGGATTTACTGATAACTTCACTCTTGAATCCGTCATGATCACCCGTCTCGATGAGAGGAAGGCCGAGAGCATGACGGAATGCGTTTGACATGCGGAGTGCCTTCGCTTTCAGGGATGCACCACAGAAGTGATGCTTGCCCTTCACTTCGGTGGAGGTGGTGATTGTGAGGCTTGGGCGCACCAAGCGGGCGACGTTGTCAGAGTCATCGTTGCCGTTCACGTTGGCGTTGGCAAGCGCATGGCCGAAGCGAATGTTTGCATTGGCATTTGAGGGGCTCTCGACTAAGACACGGAGAGGCTCCGCAGTGACTTGACTGACTGTAAAGGCGTCTTGACGTCAGCAAGACATCACATACTCACTCAAGTGAAACGTACCAATACCAGCCCCTGCAAGAAGGACAGGAAGTATTGAGAGGCGCATCCTTCCGGCTTTGTGTCGCTCAGAAAGATTTAAAGGTCTAAGCTGGAAACTATGGATTTCTTTGAAAACTATAAGGGAGATGCTTCAGACGTGGAGGTGGTGGTGGTGGTATGTGCTGTGATGTGGATGGCCGCTGGATGGCGCTGACTCTTGCCGTTGGTCATCATTGAAACTCCGCCCTCGGCCAATGCTGTGTTGCTTTGTTCCTCTTGCATGACATACATGAACTGCGCCGCAGCATCATTGATCTTCCTAATTGAAAAAAATCGACCCGCCCAATTACATTTCAACTTGTTGTGACTAGTCGTACAAGGTCGTACTACCCTCCGTGCTTTTCTTCTTAGGTCTGTACAGGTATCATCGACATGACAATGGTATCGTACTAGGTACGATCGTTAACTGTTTTTGTCCTGGACCACTGGTGGGATATTATCTCGGGACCGCCCCAGTGTGAAGATAGTTTTTCAGTAACTGCGGACGACAAGAATGGCCGGTACCGCTGGCTGCATGCTATTTATTCTTCATTTCTGCGTATACTAATAACGGGAGCTCTCCATCTATCTCGGGATCAGTTGTAGAACACCATATTCAAGTGCTCTATCTAGTACGGCGTCTGACCGCTGATACACCCGTTAACAGTCACAGAAGCATCTCTGGGATCGCACTTTTAAGGTACTTCATACATCTCCATCAAGCACACAGTCACTGAGTCCGCTGACAGGACAATGCACGCTCTTCGTTCCACTGTGGTCCGTCACTTCCTTGGTTTCACATCACGCGCTCTTGCTGCATTGGCTGTTTATTGTGACTGCTGAATCTTTTGTTATCTTGGGCCCACAGTCGCATTTTCGTTCCACTACAGTCTCAGTTATTAAAAGTGCTTTCTCGTCTATTTAAGCAGCGGCTTCTGCAGATACAACTTTCAGGCCCCTCTCCAGACACTTGCGTTATCGTGCTACAACTGAGGTAAGATATTTTATTGTCACTTGACATTTGCCTATGCTTACACTGCGCAAAGCCGTTTGATACAGGTCAATATACCAAACGTCTGTGTTGTTGTGTGCTACGACTGAGCGTGTCTATTTGATACAGATCCGCGCGAATTGCTATTGTCTCCATATACCTGGATTCTTGCTGGAATCCGTAGCCAACACTGATTTGTGAAATCTGCCTCCTGAACCACGAAAGGTAATACTTGCAGCTGGCTGAGGTTTCGTCTGCACTCAACTGACGACTCCGCCCCACAGGTCCTCCATGGCGACGTCATTCTCTCCCCTAGCCAATGATACGTCTATAAGCGTCCCCATACCCCGCCTTCCAAGCGAAATTCTCGCGATGGTCTTCGAACACTATGAAGAAGAGAAGCGTTTCGATGGATCTGCGAGCGATGGTGTCCCTGCTTGTCTAAAAGTCACACACGTCTGCAGACACTGGCGCGAAATCGCTCTCGGTTGTCCGGCTCTTTGGACATTCATCTGTTCCTTCTCTCCTCGTTGGCTAGGCATCATGCTTGAGAGGTCGATGAATGCTCCTTTGATTGTGACGTTTAAATCTCCGGTCCCGCTACAAAAATGCTTGGAGCCTATCCTTTCACATCTATCGCGCATCAAAGTCCTTCAAATTCCCTTACTAGAATCGGATTTCGAACCCATCATCCGCTTGTTATCTTCCCAACCTGCGCCGTTACTTGAAATATTCGAATTCACCAAGCCATGGGCGTACAATGATCCCACAAAAAGGCTCATATCAAATGCGATCTTTCAGGGACACGCACCTCGACTTCGGAGTGTTCATCTTGCAGGCGGTTTAGACCTGAGCTGGACAGCTCATATTTTCAGCGGGCTTCGAACCTTATATATCAGAGCCATAGGAGCCAACCCCGATCATACCATACCGCAGCTCCTGTCAGCTCTGAGACGCATGCCTACCTTGGAGCATCTTACACTCGAGTGGCTTTTCATAATTTCCGAGGACACGGAAACGAAGCTCCTCGACAAAGTACCACTCAATTGTTTGAAAAGTATAACACTAGGTTCCCTCTCGATCCGAGATGCCGCGTCTTTCTTCGCGCAACTAGCCATTCCCGTCGACGCCAAGATTGCTCTTCAACTCTCACGATTTGAGGGCCTTCAAGACTTTTCCGACCTGTTTTCGGCCATGAACATGCATCCTGATGGATCTGGTCCCGTCTTTCGGTCCCTGCGCGCCATCTACATTTCGTGCCTCTCTTTGTGCGTTCAATTTAGCACGTCGACGGCGACGCATCATGCAGAACCCTGGAATACTCGTGACGATGACATACGGCTATCGATTCTATTCACATGCGACGTGCCCGGCGCTGAAGTCGAGCCAAGCATCATATTCGATCTTTGTCGATTTGTCACGCAGGACAGGATTCAAAAACTCTCGTTGTCAGGGTTTAAATCTCCAGGTAGAGATTTCTGGCGCGCTGGATCTGCCTGCCTCCCGGAGCTCGAAGTTATTCATGTGAGGAACATTGCCGTTGGGGGCTTAATCGGTGCACTTGAGATCATTGAAGGCAAACAGATCTCAGATATACTATATCCCTCCCTTCGTGTTCTAGAGCTCGAGGCGGTTGCCTTCACCGACTTTGACATTGGCGAACTTTACAAACTTCACGAACTTCACGAGACGTTTCGTGATCTCATGAAAATGCGAGCCAAACATGGTGTCGGTATACACGCCCTCCAACTCGCAGTGTGCACAAGTTTAGGTCCTGATGAGGTGCAAGGTCTTAGGGAAGTGGTTGCGACTGTTGGTTGGGATGAATATGAAGAGCCGGAATATGACTACAGTCATAATGATTTTGCGAGATATGTGTTTTGATGCGTGTTACAGCATTAATTTTGTTCTTATCGTCGACTGCTGTAAATATCTAATGGTCTCCCCTACGCGGACCTAATATACCTCATCTATGCCAATATTTCTCCCTTAGATCATCATACACTGAGTCTGACATACACGCGTGAACTTTGACTAAGATAAGTACTTATTCCTAATTGAAAAAAAAAATTGACTTGCCCAAATTTCTCCAACATTTCATCTTGCTGCGACACTATTTCCAGGTCGTACTATGTCGTACTACCCTCCGTACCTTTCTTATTAGGTCTGTGCATGCAGGTACGAATCGTACGATGGCCAACTGTGTTTGTCTTGGTGTGATACCATTTCGGGACTTGTCACCGCCCCAATGCGAAGTCAGTACTTTTGATAGTTACTGCGGACAATAAGAAGGGGTACCGCTGCCTGCACGCTGCTTCTTCTCATTTTCTGCACACAATAATGTAACTCGAATGGGAGCTTTCCATACCCAGCTGTCGCTGGCTCGGTTCAAGTTGTAGAATACCACATGTAGGTTCTATCTACGGTATCTGACCGGTGACCGGTGATCCACCCGTTAACAGCTACAGAAGCATCTCTGGGATCACGCATGTGTGGTTCTTATTTATACAATACTTATGCATAGAGTCCTCGTCTTCAAAAAAATTCGACCGTGACCAACCCTGTCCCCCCCCCGCGAAACTGTATCCGTGGCGATATATCTCCTACGCGTTCTTTTTGGACGTGGCGACCTTGCTCTTGGAAATGCGGAACGTAACTCTACCCGCAGGTTCGCCGTTCCCAAGCAACTCAAGTCCGACCGCTGTCAGGATCTGTTAGCCCAATACTTCTCGTTTGAATGACGATACGCTCTGACTGACCTGCATTGGCGTTCTCAAGGAGGTCACCAAGACTTTGATTGTTCTCTGTCTTTTTGATGATCTTGTAGCTGAAGAAGCAGCGGCGAGCGAAGACCTCGATTTCAATCGTGGAGGACTCCATGGCATCACTAACTCCCTATCAGCCTCAGCCTACAAGACATTTGCAGGGCATACAAGGTTATACTATCCTTCCAAACAGCGACATACTCGCCGTCTTTGACGTACTTGGTAATCTTCGATTGCTTCGTGAATTTGTCTCCCTTTATGCGGATGTAAAATTGTCCACTGAATAACCCGATTTTTTCTGGCAGCCCGCTTGCTTTGATGTCTATGATCATGCTCGTCAATAGCGGCTCGAACCGCAGTCGACTCAGCGCACCAGTGATTTCGACCGACAGCTGGGGTGGGTGGATGGAGTCATCGTCCGCTGATGATGATATCTCAGGTACTTCAGTGGCTGGAGAAACGTCCTGGGATGGAGCTTTGTTCGACATGGCGTCGTGACAGTATTCCAGCTAGCTTGGATGGTGGGTGGCAGGCTATGGGGGGGCACGACCTTTTCTCGCTGATTTTTATATGCTCGCGGCCTGGCGCAACACGCCCATTCATATCGATTCGGCGACCTCCAGTATGGTATGGCGGCATGTCATCACCGAGAATTGGAAGAGAAGGGCGTTGTGACTGAACGATCACCTCCTGAGTTGTCTAATATCTATTGTTCGTTCGAAACATCGATTACTGCGAAGGGAATAGGACCCTTTCAGGATGTGCCATGTCCTCCGTTTACTCAATCACTGGTAGGATTTCTACTAATGGTATCAAAGCGCTGATCACAGAAGACAGATGTGGAGGTAGCTCGCCCGACCGTGGCTTGCGAGGCGATACTTCTTGAAGTACAACCCTTGAGGCTTTTGCGCCTGCTTGTCATACACATGATAGAGGAGGCAGTGTCACTGATCGCCGAGAGGATGCGCAAGTCACGACATGACGAATACTCATGTGCGCTGGAGCTAATGGTATGGCCATGTTTGAGTTCCGCCTGCACATGCATAACACACCCAAGTAATTCGAAGGTTCTTGGCAGCTTGTTAAAGTTCTGGGATATGCTTCTAGGCGGTTTGCCTAACGAACGTGCATGACTGTATCGAACTTCGTGGCGCTCCCTTTGAACAAGTGGAAATCCATCAAGCTTGGGAATGTTCAAGAACCAGATGTGCATAACGGTTTCACAAGCCTGAGCTCAGGAAATACCGTGTTCTGAATTAAAGATGCATGTGCATAATATTATACCCATAGCATGGAAAGCAGTCTAATGCTTTAGAGCGCCTGCAAGTCAAGGTACAGTTTTCCATCTGTCTGCCTGCTGTCTCTTGTAGTTTGCTGTCGTGGGAGACACTCACGCGAATCATCATCATCATTTGAAATGTCCATGCAATAAAGAGTACGGTGCCAGAACACTAAGCGTCAAACAACATCCGCAACTTGATCCACACTCCCACTCGGCTCCATAAACATCGCCTCAAACTCTTCCGGACTATGTCCAATCACACCAAAAACAGTCTGCAGCGTACGCCCAAGATACTCCAGCTCCTGAGTGACGCCCTTCATAGTAAGAGCGTACGCAAAGAAAAGCAGCTGTCGCGACGCTTTCACATCTCTGTTTCTCACTATATCCAATTTCCGAATTGCGTTGACCTGGAAAAGGATATGACATCAATCTATAGGCGATTTTGAGGGGTATATTTGGGAGACGTACCAGGCGCTCCCTCGATGCCTCAGCTGGTGGGAGGTACGGCGGCAATGGGGCTTTCAAACGAAAAGCGGATGCAAGCGTGGAGAAATACAGAATGATGTTGCCAACCATCTCTCTTCGCTCTTTGTTCACGGGTAGAATGAAGTCCATCCTTACGGACTTGACAATCATACGTCAAAATGTGTGACATCATTCAGGAACGTAGCTTACCGTGATCCACTCCTCTCGAGTAGTGACGCAACGCATGCTGTGCAACCTATCCAGGATGGTCTGGAGACTCGTCAAAATCGACCGGTAGAGGAGTATAGGGAAGGGTCCCTTCAACCGAGGCTCATGCTGTGTCTCAGCCAGAAGACCTTGTAATTCAATGAGCTTTCTCTGGAGGTGCAATTCCCTGCAGAGAGGATAGAGAATAAGCGATGGTCTGATACATAGAAAACCCAAACCAACATAGCCATGAATTCCTGAATAGATTTACTAAGCTTGGCTTTGGCGGACTTGGGCAAGAGCGACACCGCCTCGTCTGAAGGCTGCATCTCGGGCTCGTCTTCGTCCATGTCATCATCTTCGACGCGGACCATGCCTGAGTTGGCTGCTACCAAATGGGTGTATAGCCATCCGATATTCAGACAAAAGCTGGGTGAAACAAGTCAATATGTGTCATGCTCAGCAAAGACTTACTTACTTTCCCAGCTCTTTACTTAGCTCCCTTCGCGCTTCTGAAGGCCACCAGAAACGAGACACGATCGCAGCCCAGATAACACCAGCAATGACCGCAGTCGAGCGATGAAACGCAATATCGAGCACAGATGCATCGGCTTGTCGAAGGTTGTACCTGAAAATGAGGGAAAGAGGATGGTTCAAAAGGGTGCGCAGGCAGCGGAAAATTGGGAACGTACGCATAAAGACACGTCAAATTATACGTCAAAAGAGCAAATCTCCCTGTCGTCGCATATTCCGGAGCCGCGAGAATGTAGTAAAAACAAGGCAACGAGAAAAAGAAGCCAAATATCGACAGCACGATTGCATTTTCGGGGAAAAGACTGTAAATTACAGCTGCTACGGCAGCTCCAAAACTTCACAAGGTCAGAACAAAAGGAGGAAAATACCGAACAGAACAACGTACAGAGTACCGAGTACACGATGGATGCTGAGGAAATTAGTCTAAGAAATAAATCAGCAAGGTAGGATGCAAGACCGAAAACGAATCATCATACTCCTCCAATCGTAGGCGACATGACCGCAAAGAACTGAAAAATAAACATAAATCAGTGACCCATAAATGTAAAAGACGCCCGCACGCACAGAAACTAACGCCCATTCACCCTTATAATCCGTGAAGATTGGTCTCGTACTCTCAAAGAACGCAGGCGCAGCCAAAATAGCAGTAGACATCCCCACTTTAAACGCATACTTCAATTTGCGCTCTTTCAAAATTGCACCCAAATCCCAAAGTGCGCGCTTCATGCGACCAAAAAAGGGGAGATTCGCGGGGTGGGGCGTTTGTATCGTGTTCGGAGCGTGAGGTTGGACTTTGGGGAAAAATACTTTCGCGCGATGGGGGGAAGTAAAATATGATGCTTGATGAGAGAATGTCAGTAGATTGTGGGCAGTCTTGAAAGTGATTACTGACAGAGTCGGCGCAATCCAGGTCGCCTGGATCTGTCACGAGGCAAGTTACGTCGACGCAATCGCATCGCAGATAAAAGTTTTGACGGGCCGTGAACTATATATTGGTTGAACCAGCTCAAAGCACCTGCCCTGACTTGTTGGACTGCGTATATCCTGCGCATGGCGTCCGTGAGAGAAATGAGCTCTCCAGCAAACTCTTGCAATGTGAAAATGAAACTGAAATATGGCGACTTGAGTATAAATCCTGTTGATTAAATGAAAGAAAAAAACTTACAAATAGAGAAGAAACATGTGCTCATGTTCGCTGTTCGTAAGAATCGTATTCTCCTCGTGGACCGAAGAATCGAATGAACTCCCTGAAGACGGGACAGCAAAACCGCTCCTTTTGTACAAACGCATAACAGCATGGTTCGAGGTACTCTCGAAGGCAAAGAGTGCACGTTCGATCTCGTCAATTAAAACGTGAAAATCATGAGGTTGAAACGGAGTTTCCCTTTGGACGCGGTTGCTCTGCGCAAATGCCTCGCGTAAACGTCTGAAGCTTGTAGTACAGGTTCTCTTGCAGCTACTTGTAAGTAACTTCCGTCAGTACACGTGAAACGACTCACTGATAGTGCTTTTAGCGGAGGACCCAGATCGTCGACTAAGTCCCCAAACATATCCGCCGCAGCTTGTAGTAAGACCTCATCCATATCGTCTCTCGTGTCCAAACCACTATCAGACATTCCCCTCTTCCCCTCTGGAGAACGATAACCGCTTGGATCACGCTCCTTTGCGCCAGTTTGACTGTGTCGCTTCAACGTCAAGCGTCCCTCGCCATAAGCCTTCGCGAGTTCGTACTGCAGTCGAGTACCGCTCCTCAGGCCATTCAGATGTTGGGCAAGACGTGTGAGGCTATCAACCGCGTCCTCGTATGCTTTCCCTCCCTGTCCACGCAGACCGCTGAACCATTCCGACTTGGCTTCTCCCAAGTTCTTTTTGAGACTCGTAAAACTTGCCTGATGATTCTCAACCGCTTTGTGAATTTTATCCTGGCTGGGCTGGCGAATGGGCTCCTCAAGGAGGAAGGTGTTTGTGAGCATGCCAAGCAGGGTGGCAAATGAATCCAAGGTCTTCGTCATGTTTAACTGGAGGTTTTCTGTAGCGCTTTGGGGCCATAGCGCGAAACACACGATGTTTGATATCAAAGTGCCGACAAACACGACCGAGAAGACTTGCAGGAGGGTTTCCCAGCCTCCTTCTTTGACGATTCTAGAAAACTTTGAGTTACGCGCTCTCAAAACGTGACGTATGATAACCTACACAACAAATAGTATGATTGCGACCATGGTACACGCTGGTGAACAATTAGCATAGCACAAATTGAAGCCTTTGATTGACGCACCCGAATTAAATGTGGGTTTAGCCATCCAAACCTTCATCCAAGTGAGGCCCCACATGCTGAGTCCGATCCACAAAATGACGAGAGCGTCACCAAGCCCTAGCCACCCCTGCACCTCGAGGGACCAGAACATGGACATGCTTCCCAAACAAACGAAGGCTGCATAAAGAAACGCAATCGAGCAGTACGAGTCAGCCTCTATCATTCCACCCATGGTTTTCGCTGGGTTGTAGTATACAGCGCTGCGAATGATCAGCATCACGTCCAGAACAGGAGTGAAGAAAGACGCATACATCGAGGCTATCATGTGACCAGTGGGTGTTGGGAGGCCGTTCCCCGATCCATGTGTGGCGATATCACTGAAGAATCCAGAGAGGTATGGTGAAAACGTAAAGAGAGAGGCGAGAGTATACGCCACGCCGCATTTAAGAACGTTTCTCCACAAAACTGGTATTGTGGGTACTTCGAAAGGAAGAAACCAATGACGCGATGGCGATGGAGGGGCAGAGGTCGCTAAAGAGCCGTCTTGGGACTCGTCTTCGGATTCAGTGAAATGTTCATTGGTTCGCTCGGACTCGGCCGACGCCTCTCGACTGTTGTGCTCTTGCGGATGAGATTGCACGACATTATCGAATGGATCGCCGTTAGTGGAGGCATCTTCTGAAGTCAGAGGTCCCGTTGAAGAGAGCTCGGAGCGGTGAGAGAGGGTCAAAGTATTGCGTCTATTGCGTGTCATGGGGCTCCTAAGCTGGCCCTCATTCTCCATGAGTTGTTCGAAAAGCGACCATTGTGGCCCTGGTTGTGAGGGCCTGACACGGGACAAACGGCCAAGGGACTCCCTTAGGTTTTGAGCACTAGCCGTATTAAATTCCAGAGGAGGCGTATGAGCGACAATGTGGGAAACCCTTCTTTGATCCCGTTCATAGCTCGGGCGTAAAGCGGACGATGGAAGAGAACCGAAAGAAGGTATGGGACGAATGTGCGGAGCACTAGGTTCTCCTAGAGTGATTTGGCCAGGGGAGCCAACGAAATGGGAGCCACCATAGATTGGTCCATGACCATCACTGTGGAAAGACAGGTACAGAAGGTCTTCCGGTGAATGGTTCTCGTGAGATGACATGAGACTTGAATCTCAGCTTAACAGAGACTTGGTAGGTGACCGTCTTCAAGCGGCTTGAAGTCTGACTCTGGACACGTGGTAGTGGTCAAAGTGAACGTGCTGCGCAAGACGCGGTCCTCCCTGTATGAGTATATGGCATGACTGCTCAACCGAGTAATGCCAAACACTCTTGGCAGTATGGCACGACTGCTCAAACCGAGTAATTATGGAGATGATCCTGGGAACAATCAGCCCTTGCTTTAAAGTACCTGAGCCTATGGCATATTGTCGTACTTGTTACTGCAGCCCTCAGATCATGATCTGCAGGCTGGAATCAATGGTCGGCAGTCCGATGATTCACGAATCGGCTAAAGGTAACACGGGACTCAGGAGCAAAATTGAACCTCCTATCCCAATACACGATCTTCAACTCGTCCATCGTCTTTGACCATAACTATGGCTCATAAAAGAAACGACTCAAACACCACCTCATCGGCATCCGCCCTCACTGCGGCTGCGGCTGGATTCAAAGGAATAGAACCTGATAAAGGCCCAACCATGCATGGTAAAGCGGTTGGTCCGTGCACTGGTAGGCTCGCAGCACGCCTGAGCCCAGGCCCAGGCCCGGTCGTTAAACAGCGTAATACTCACGAACTCGAAGAAGGCACCGTTGAACCGCCAGCAAAGAAACGACGGGTAGAACCAGATCTTTCCAACCTTGACCACCCCGATAATAATTCCCATCGCCACATCTCACTCAATGTACGACGCACCTGCAATATTCTCGCATCTTGGGCCCCTCACGTCCAGGAGGTCAAGCAGCGGTTCATCAATCACCTCGGCTGCCCTGAATTCCCATACTCTGAGTGGGACAACATCATTACTGGTCAGCCCGTCAACCTTGATGTCGTCCTCTGCGACGTTTATGCAGGGCCAGAACCCGCGACTGTCACTAATGCGTCGGATTGGCTTGCCGCATGGCGCCGTCTTGCGGAAGCGTATCGCTTCGCGTTCCCCCATCGAAAATCCGAACTTGATACCTACGGAATGTACATAAACACCATGTTCTCCTCATACATCACCGAATCTCACTCCCAAATCATCAACTTCGACAAGGCAATTCGAAAGCGGGTGGGCTCATGCCGTAACTTGGAACTCTCCAATGTCAAAGAATTCATGGGTACCCACACCTCTTACTTCTCCCCATTTGGTCGGAACTACATTGAAAGCACAAAGGCTGCATCTAAAGGCAAAGTTTCCGACAAGAAGGAGCTCTGTCGACGTTGGAACACCGGCGCTTGTACATTTTCCTCTTCATCGTGCCATCGCATCCACGCCTGCAGTGTCCAAGGGTGCAACTCTAGCAACCACCCTGCATGTGAGCACGAGCAGAGTGGTTGTAGCCCACGACTCTTGTTATGACGGTCGCCCCATAATGGCCCCGCGTCTCCATCGCCAACTTGTCCGGATTGACCGACAAGTGGCCAACTGCGCAGCCTTCATTTTTTGCCAAACATTACCATCCTCCCCTGTTTGATCATCATTTCGCCAACCCCTTCAAACATCGTGATCTCCTCGCGCCCAAACTCAAATCAGATCAAATCGACAAATCCAATACGTATCTCAGCCTCCTTTCGCCGCTCGCCCCTTCATATGCCCCTTCATCTCCTACAAATAGCAAACCAACCAAATTTTCACGATCAATAGTCTTCAACAGTCAACAACATGTTGATCCACGTATCGACTTTGGTAACTCTAGCCCATCATTTGGATATGTTCATGTGCCTGGTAGTCTTCAAGCATAATTTGTATTAACTGTAACTGCTGTATTTCCATTTCAGAAGTGTTCAGTTCGAGTCTCGAACCAAATAAATCTAATGTGCAGTCGTCGTCACTCGTCGTGATGCGGACTCTCGTGAGCTTGCACATGTGGAGCAGTCGCGCAGCCGACGCCCATCATCGATGCATCATGCTTGACGTTTGATCATGTCCACATGAAGATCCAAACTCTCGACGCATCTGATTAAAATGCGTGGACCGCCATAGCACAACTAGCGTGGCACCAATGGCAATAACGACGTGCAACACACACTTTCTCCCGAAAGCCGACGCCCGGCCATGCGTCCACATGAGCACTCAAAACTCTCGGTTAAATCAGTGAAATTTCCACCAACTAAACTAGAGCAATTTCCTGGTCAACCGCATAAACCGCCAAGCACACCAAGCCAACAAAGACGGGGTCCACCATTTTTCTTCTTCGATATACAACGGTACGGTACAACAAACAAGAGCCAGACAACGGTGCGACAACTCGATACTAGAAAGACTTTCAAAACAGAGACGACTATTCGACAAGGGTCTATCAAAACACAAAACAAAGCAAAAAAAAAAAAAAGAGATATGGCACGACATAAAAATATATCAACTAGAGTAACAATTACGATTCGTTCGTGACGGGAAATACGAATGAGGAATGTCCAGCTTCGTGGGGTAAATGTGAGTTTCGAGTCCGTAAGGTCTAGTGTCCGCGTTGCTGTCCGTGGAGAATATTAAACAAAAGTCCAGGCTATATCACAACAGTCCGACGAGTACTATCAGTCCGAAAAAGTGCGTGAGGGGTCGTAGCGAGCGTGAGCATCACATAAAGAGTGCAACAAAGTGCTGTCCGTAAGAGACCAGAAGTCCAGGCAAAATTGAAACAAGTCAAAGTCCAGGCGGGGAAAGCGTCAATGTCAATATACTAGCGTGTCCGAGTCATAGGGGCCAAGAGTCCGCGGGTCGGAAATTAAGTTTTTTTTCTGGGTTTCCAAAGTGTGTGCAACGCATATCGCTGTCGTCAAGCATATTCGCCGTCCCTAAATGGGCTATAGTCCAGATAGTCGCTTTTGTACCTTGGCCACTGAATATCCCAGCAGGGGGAAGCGCGCGCTGAGGTTGTTCATGGCGTAAAGCAGGGTCCCAATTTCATTACGGATATCCGAGCTGCTGACGAGTGGCCACGAAGACTCAATGACATTGAGTTCTCGAATCAACGTGTCCACAGCGCACGTCCAACAAGGCTGAGTCGAGAGGAAGAAGATCAGTTAATGAATCTGTGTGGCGCATTCAAAGATACTCACGCCGATAATGGGATCGAGGAACTCGTAATCTGAGTCAGCGATATGCTTGATGATAGATACACAACATCGCGCAGCTCGTAGGCATTTGTCATACGAGACAGGATCTTCAGCGCCGAATGGGTAATACATATGTATCATCGCGGCGTGAGCCAGGGTGTGGGTTGCAATGTAGGCATGTTTCTCGTCAGGCGACGTGGCATCAAGTTGATGCACTGGAATAAGGGTCGGTATAAAGCGCGCGATCGTGTGTTCTAACGTTTGAAAGTCATCGGTAAACGCGCTCGACATCGCTAAATCTGCTTGTTGATAAGAAGGCTGTGCATATATAAAGGAAATAGGCTTACGCTGGTCCCAGGTTGAAGCGAGGTGATGCGCACGTTCGAATAGAGCGGATGCTTTGACACGGAGGGCTAGTGGGGAGAACCCTCCGCGGACGTTTGTGACCTGACGTTCAAAGAAGCTCCGAACAGTATGGAAGCTGTGCAAATCATCGATCTGACCCTGGGAAGAGTTAGTCAGTCTACGTTCTACCCACGTGATACTGTGACATACTGCTGCATATTCTTCCATATCTTGCGGCCACGGCATGATGATGGACGCGTATCCATCTGAACCATGTGGAATGGTCACTGGTTTGTGAAGTACCACCGACCAGCACCGATCCAGGACAAATACCTGCCAAAATGTCAATATCCGCTCGCCCTGTTCGATAGCGTCTTTTGGGGGGTCAAGTTTGAAGGGTGAAATGGAGGCTGTGGTCTCAAATGATGATCGATTGGTCATCGCCCCGTGAAGGCCGCATTGAATAGCCAGTGATGCAGCAGCGTTGGCATGGTAACTGCCTTCCAGTGCCCTTCCATTCGAGAGGAAGTAAACGGATAGTAGACATGATGCCTGGATGACATCGAGCAACCTGTTTGGGTACTGGAGGGCATCGCTAAGGGAGTCGAGGGTTCGACTCAAGTAATGAGACTCATGCGTGCTAAGAGGACCTGGCCTGGAGATGTAGCATGCCCATAAAAATATGGCATTAGTGAGGACAGGGTGATGCTGCTCCATGACAGGTCGAGTGAACGATTCTCGTAGTCGACCCATATGCAGACCCAGGAGGGACTGACGACAATGAGTAGAAAATATGTCTACGAGGGTCTGCGCGAGCTCTATTGTGGGCTGTGGCTCCTCATGGTAGATATCCGTAAATGGCGTGGGCGAAGGTGAGGGGATGCCCTGTATCCAGGAGCTTTGAGGTGAATTATTTACTGGAATAAAATGTGTAAGTTATAATGTCGAGAATGGTCCGGACGGATCAACACACCGGAAGGAGGAAAGGAAGAGACGGAAAGTGAAAAGCCTGTGCTTGCTGGCGAGCTAGTAAGGGAAGACGAAGAGCTTTCAGAGCGACCATGACGGTGCGGATCATGTAGAGTTACGGATGGGGAGGTGTATTCCGGATCCTCGAGTTCTCGTATACGCTGTTCTAAACGCTCGATGTGTTCACGAAGAAGTTGAGTTCTTGTCTTTCCCTTTCCGTCATCGTACTGACAGGCGTCATGTTGCTTTGCACGAACACATTGTTGACAGGCTGGCTTGCTCCCGTCACATCTCTGATGGGATTATGAGCGACTGGAGATTCAACTAACGTGATGACTTACCATCTTCCGTTTTCTGGACAAGGCGCGTTTGAGCATGATTAGCGAGTTTTTAAGAATGATGAGGTAGTAGAGAAAATACCTGCAACGCAAGCATGCTTTCCCCCTCTGTAGAGTGGGCGGGGGCGTGTTGGACTGATTACTGGCCATTATGGGAACGGATACTAAATATACACGAATGAGAGTGGATCTAGTGGGTGAAACCGTATCAACGAACTGCGGAGTGCAGGCGAGAAGAAGAAGTGGAGACTGACCAAGAGGAGCCGACGGGAGGTGACCTAGGAGACGCTAAAAGTGAGGAAAGAGACGGAGTATGAGTACTCCAGGCATGAAGTGTAGGCGGTAACAGAACTTCAGAAATAAATTACTGGGAACATGAATTCGTGTGTGCTCAAATAGTTCCAGCGGCCGGTGACCTTGCCGCTCTTGAAAGTGATATTGTCTTGTTGATCAGATAGCAGAGCCGCGTGATGTCGGACAATCCTTTGACTGGTTAGTTCCGCCGGGATCTAGGAAACTTCCGAGGTTTAGAATCCCGACAAAGGTCGAAGGGTGGCTGTTTGTTTCTGTTATGGTTAACTAGGATCGTCTGCTGGTTCAATCTCACAACGGTCTTCCTATCCCGTGTCCGTCATCGGTCCGTCCAAGAGGCCTATCAGCCAGCCTTCAATCCTCACGACCTCGTGGGTCAAAGCGTCAAGATAATACTATAAAACTCCTTAACATACACATCCCATCAGAAAACGGCATATATAACGTACGTTGCTAAAGATCCCCACTATGCGGTGTTGACACTTGGCACAGCCCGCCGACGAGTCCATGGAACCTCTCCTCGTCGCGCGATACTATTATCTGAGTTGCTGTCACAAGGCAGATTGGTTTTTCGTCATCCGACGGACCAACCCTCTTCAGTTCGCCACGTTGTAGCTCAAACTTTGGTCATATCCGCGGGATGGGTAACGAACTACGATTTTGGGATGCTTCAGACAACCGGCCCTGCAACATTGATTCTTCAACTCATCCTGAGAACCTTTCGACCTCCCTTCATGTCGGACTGAGTGGCGCTAAAACCTCTGTGCAGACAATCCATCTTACGACACCTCAGTATCTCCTTACCTACTAGATCTTTCGTCACTCGTTAATATCGTGTTCATCGGTCTCTTCATGACCGCGGCCCGCAACGGCACGGAATATCGCGATTTGCCATTGATGCAGCGCCTTGAAACGTTCACAATTCAAGCTAAATGCCAAGGCTAAGCCAGCAGCCATATGATCAGTCGGGCTGCGCCAATGCAATGTTACAACAGTATCGTTCAACGTGTGCCGGAGATTCGCCTGCACAGCAGCACCTCCCAGACTTATACTATAAACTACGCAAAACCTGCCTCATCAGTATGTTCAACTTCTACATACCTTATCTTCAGTGCTTCACATCAAACGCTTGTTGATGGACAGCTTCCATCTGCTTTTGATCTTCCTCGATCATGATAAATTGTTCACTCTGCGAGCATGGCCATCGATTCATCAATCATCGATGTTGATGCGTACTGGCTTGCAGATAATCAACAGTTGGGGACACCTACTAGATTTGTCGAATTAGGTGCGCCACAGTCCAGTGCAAGATGCTATTGAATCGGCTTGCACCAAGTTTGGCAATATGAACAAGAGCGCTCAAGCTAAGGTTTGATGGTGTACCTTCACCCCCGCATGAACTGCCTCAGAATCGCAGAAGCTGCGCTACTCCGGCATGTCGTTTGTTCAACGTCTACAATCTTCATGGACATCTTCCCCTTCATATCCGACGCTGGTATGATTTGCGAGTTATAATCGCGGGTAACTTCTATCCCGACCCTTTCTCTCTCGGTGACGTCAACATATTTCAAGGTTCCGTTGTTCATTGCATGGCTTTACATAGCCCTTTCATCAATCTACTGACGGCATAACTTACGGTCGGGACCTCGTGGTACACTACTACTGCGTATGAGGCGAGCACCATCTGCCAGATGTTCAATTCCACAACCATAGTTTGCACCAAGTCAGTCTTAGAGCGCTCAAGGTTTACTGATACAGACTGCTTCTTCATTTCCGTCTGACCTGCCTTAATGAAAAAAAAAAAAATTCTGTCCTCCATCGTTCGTGGTGAGTATCAGGGTATACACTGCCTCGAAGTTTTTTTTTCGTCTCAAATACCCAATACACACCCTGACCGTCTTCTTTGCGATCTGATAGCTTCAAGTGTAGGTGCAGGGATCTTATCAGCCCGAGGACCTACCTGACCATGTCCCGTACGTCATTGCTATCATACTCCAGTGCAAACTCAATGTCTCCATTTCCTTAGTGTTCAGACAACCACCACGGTATCCTGGCTAATACACGTCCAGGGCCGCGTTTATTGGCCCAGGTACTGCATTCCCGCCTCTGAGTTTTTTGCCCACACTACGGTTGGACACACTTCGCGTACCTTCTGCCAATGGTCAGCTGGCCCAGCGCCCCAATCACAACCATCGCCACTAGCTATTAAGCTCGCACGACGGGCAGTGCCTGTATCGTTCGGAGCCGTGCACACTAAGTACTACCTCTCACTGTGTAGTAGTTCAAGTTCCCATCCTCGTTATGCTCGGTTCCGGTGACATGTCATTGATCGGCGACTACCTCACCGTCACAAGTACACACCCATACCCTGAGCACCACAGCAATAAACAACCGTTCTCTCCCAACCAGCGATAGATCTGTAAGATCACGATCGCGCCCAACCCCGGCTTTTGCCTCGTAAAAATCCCTGCTCAGCTTTTATCCTGACATAACCACTGGCATCAACTCTCACAGTGGCAATTATAATCCGTTCCACCTCAAAATGCTCGGTGCCGCATGTTTTTCCCATCCCATACATGTGTGCTAGTTAGGCTGTTTTGATCTCGCTCGGAAATACGATGAGGGGACCTTCGAATTCTTTGTGTTTTGCCAGCCGTGCCATAACTATTAAATTGGTGGGGCGATTGCCAATATTTATTTCTTCGCGGGATGTCTGAACGTTTATCAATAATGTATCGATCGTGGCATACTGTCATTGATAGGCATCCCATATGCATTTGTCGGGTCCTCCGATCCCTTCTGAATCTCAGGGGTGTTTGCTTCCTATTGCCTCGGGAATTTCGAATATCGTCATTACTTCATCAAGAAACTTCACCTTCTTGCGCAGAGTGCGCAAGTGAATTACGAGAATCTATATCTAAGCGAGCTATACACAGGAATTATGTACATCCCAGCTGCGAGTTCTCAAAACCCTGCATACATATATGTGCACCATGATACGTCGCGAGTTGTTCCTGGTAGATTGGAGTCGTCAATTGCCGACTGGCTTAAAATTTCAACAAAATTTGAAGATAACGACAATTAATTGAATCCAGGCTACGCGAGAGAAGCTTCATACTCGATGTGTCGGACAAAGAATGATGGGCTTGGCTTCTTTCTTTGTGCCCCCTGAGATAAGTAGACGCCGCTTTACTGGAATCTGGTTTAGGCCGCCAGAACTTTGATCAAATTCATATGCATGATCACATGGATGGACTGGTGGTTGATGGTGCCAACTCGAACCAACTGTCAATAAAAGTATAAGATGCACCACCTGACAGGGAGTATGCGTAGGTGCCTCTGGTCAGCGGAAGCAGCACCAGTACCGCGACTGAAGAGACGGCGCTATAATTAATATCAATCAAAAGTCAGTGCAATACATAAATACACCTATACGTATCGATCAATTCCGCTGTCATCGTGTAGAAGCGGGGTAGAATTCGAACCTCCAGGACTTATTTATAGAGGAATGAACTGCCTTCTAAACTTGATCGAGCTGTTGGGGACGAATCAAATACCTCGACCATCCGTTGATCGTGAGGAATAAGAGAAAAATGTGTGCGCAAGCTACCTACTACATATGTATGAGCGGTGAACGTTCGTACTGCAAGAGATGCTCAAATACCTCGATATCCGTTGATCGTGAGCACTGCAAATCCAAATCCAAATCCAAATGGATGTGCGCAAGGGAAGTGCAGGAGACGAATCAAATACCTCGACGTCCGTTGATCGTGAGGAAGATCCAGTGACTGCAAATGGATGCTAATGGGCGCAAGTTTACCTACCAATGCCATGAGCGGTGAACTGCAAGAGAAGTTCAAATACCCCAACTATCCGTTGATCGTGAGGAAGAACCAGGACTGCAAGTTCCCGTTGAGCTACTAGACTCGAGGACGAATCAGATGCCTCAAAACAGATTAACATCCGTTGATAGTGCGGAAAATCCAGCGACTCCAAACGCATTGTTCCTACCATGAGCGATGAACTGCAAGAGAAGTTCAAATACTCCAACTATCTGTTGATCGTGAGGAAGGACCAGGACTGCAAGTTCCAGCTGAGGTCCTAGACTCGAGGACGAATCAGATGCCTCAAGGTTCAAACATCCGTTGATCGTGAGGAAAATCCAGCTACTCCAAACGCATTGTTCCTACCATGAGCGATGGACTACAAGAGACGTTCAAATACCCCAACTACCCATTGATCGTGAGGAAGGTCGGACCGCAAACGCACTGGCGCAAAGTTTCCTATCATGAGCGATGAACTGCAAGAGACGTTCAAATACCTCAACTATCCGTTGATCGCGAGGAAGCTTGAACGTGACTGGACTACAAGCCACCACTGAACTGCTAGAGACGAATCAGATGCCCCAAGTTCCAACGTTTCAAACATCCGTTGATCGTGAGGAAGAACCAAGACCGCAAACGCACTGGCACAAAGTTTCCTATCATGAGCGATGGACTGCAAGAGACGTTCAAATACCACAGCTATCCGTTGATCGTGAGGAAGAACCCGCGACTGCAAATGCACTGGCGCAGAGTTTCCTACCATGAGCGATGGAGTGCAAGAGACGTTTAAACACCTCAACATCCGTTGATCGTGCGGCGGCGCGTGAGGGATCCAAAGCGACTGCAAATGCAAATGCACTGCGATAGATACGCGGCAAGTCGCTTACTACCTGATCAGGAGCGCTGGCAGAGCTGCTAGAGAAGATACCTCGACATCCGTTGATCGTAAGGCCCTAAGGAAAAAACAGCGACTGTAACTGCTCATCCGTTGATAGCAAGGCCTTAAGGAACAACCAGCGACTGCCACAACTGCATTGTGCCCAATTGGTAACCTACAACCATGAGTGGAGCTGAAGCTGCTTGAGATAAACTCAAATACCCCTGAACATCTATCCGCCTGATCGTAAGTCAGACGAACAACTAGTTACTGCAAATACTTGCAATGCAACACATCATCATCATGCAAGTTAATTACCTGCTACAAACGTCAACCATAATAAGTACAACCATGCCTAAATCCAAAGATATATAAAAACCTCAATGAAAGAATGGACGTGAAAGGAAAGGTGTTAAGATACGCGCGCAAGTTCAGTGGCCAGACAACGAGCGAACGTCAGACCGTAAGTCAGTATACGTATACGTATGTGCATCATGTGAGTATCCGGTGTGAGAACCAAGACAGACTCCGTGTATGGTATCACAATAATAGTTGTGTGTAGTGTGGTATATATAGTCTCTCAGAGCAAGAGCGTGAAGCAGGCCGCCACAGATGCGAGAAGGGTGAGGGAGACAGCAACGTTCGTGTTAGTAGATGCAGTTCCGATAAGGGGGTTGCCCGAGGTCGAGCCGCTAGTCGAGGTAGCTGTTGAACTCGACACCTTCGCCGGGTTCGGGGTGGAGGTTCCGGTTGAAGTGCTCAGGCCACTAGCAAGCTGTGCAAAACCGACGGCAGCGGGGTTGGCGCGGAAGACGGAGTACACGTTCTTGAGGAACGTGTCACCGACAATCCAGGTAGGGACACCGGCGCCACTGCCAACGCTGGTGCCGATATCAAAGATACCACCGGCACACATCTGAGTCGTGGTACCTGTGACGGAACTGGGGAGAGAGCCGAGGTTCATGTCGAGGGGGTTGATCGACCAGGTAGTACCGCCGAAAGACATAGTGACTGTGACATCAGTGGTGCAGGCTGGATATAGATCAGTCTTCCGCTTATCCTGCAGCGTATAAATGATACTGACGGAATGCGTATAAGCCTGCGTATGCTCCGGTAAGCGCTATGGAGCCTGAAACTTGGGACCAAATATTTGCGGTAATGGTGGTGGGTGCAGCAATGAGGGTAGTGCCCGTGTCGATGGCAGCAAGAGAATTGGATGAGCCGACAGTGATCGATTTGCCTTGCACAGAGAGCGCTGCACATTGTGACCGATCAGTAGGATGACGACATAACAAAGTGAAGGGACTGACAGGCAACATCGAGCAGCCAATACGATGGCGTACCGGTTAGGCTCAAGTACTCGATAGAGCCCTGGTATAAACTGGAGTTTGTTCCACCGAGAGTGAGGGTGCCGCCCGGGGCAGTGCTCGTAGCGGATTGGTCGATATAACGTGCCAGGTAGAAAGAGAACAAAGGTTCTGAGAGCTGGCCGGCATTGTAGAGAGCTTGCCAAAAGGGAGTAGTACTGAGGGCAGAAATGGTGTTAAACCCAAGACCCATGATACCTGAGAGTACACCGCCGAGCAAGCCAGAGGTAGTTGCAGTAACAGCCACTTATGACCAAAAAAAAATCAGTGGGGATCTGAATAGATTCGAGATCGACGTACAAAGTTCTTGCTGAGCGATGGTGAAGCCACCGAAAGTGACAGTATCTTGGGAGGTAGCACCTTGTACCGATCCTGAGCCATAATTGATCTGCAGGGCGGTACCTGATGTCTGGAATGTCGAGGATTTTGAGGTGGTAAACTGATTCTCAGAGCAAGTAGTACAGGAGGTTAATGTATCGCAAGAGGTACATGAGGATGTTGCAACCCAAAGGTCGGAAGAACCGGTGTCGAGGATAAGATCGAAGCTCTGCGGTCTTGGGCGAACATAAGTATACGTGAATACTGCTAGGTTTGAAGCTTACGGAGTTCCGATGCTCACGATTCCTGAGTAACTGGAATCGTTTTGCTAATGAAAACATGATTAAAAATTCCAGGAAATAAATGGAAGAAGCAAACCTCATCGGTGATGGGAACTGCAGCAGAGTTTGCTCGCTTGGAATTCGTGGCATTTGTTGGGCGATAATTATATTTTGCGCGCAAAGCTTCCATAGCTTTGGGTAAATTCGCGACTCTGTCTGCTTGACTACGTCGCACGATTGGGACATGAATAACACCTGCATCCGGCTGGGGAGCAGCGAGAGCGAATGGAAGTAGTGCGACAGCTACGAGAGGGAGGGAAATCATCGTGGAACCGGAAGGTAGTATGAGAGAGAATGAAAGAGAGCAAGAAGAAATAGGTTCAGCACAAGACTAGCTTGTGTGAGTGTGGTTTGTGTCAAAAGGATGTCTATTACTCGCCACCCGTAAGGCTGCGTAACCAAGTATTCTTGGCGCTACACACGCCCATCAGAACCTTATTCCCACCAACCTGGGGTTGCCCTGGGCCTTAATTCACTGCCCGTCCTCAACCACCGTGACCCTTGCCAGCAGTCCTGATTCGCAAAGCCTAAATTATTGGTGCTGCACCAGAGGGAGCTCGCAGCTGCAGGAGGACTCTGATTCTCAACACCACCACGCGGTCACAATACGCTAAACAAAGAAACGGCGTCAGATGACACATGCCCATGATCGCACTCATGGTACACAGCCCCGAGGTGGCCAGCGTAGAACGTACTACAAGCCCGCCCACCGGACTTGGCATGGTCACTGATTGGATATTTGGGTTTCTCTTTTGATCAAATGTCAGAATTACCGCGATTGTGCTCGGTGCAGTGTCCTCATTATTCTGTCAACGTTCCGTGAGTCTCCTCATTCCCGTTGTCTTGTCATGAAATGTCCTTGCCATCCCGGATCGCAGGCCAAGACAAACATTGCCGAAATTCAATGCCAACACTGCATAACTTGGTCTAGATTCTCCTGGCAACTCATTTTCTCTGTTTGCCCTGTCTCTCATTGTTCCAACCGTTCGGCTGGAACCTCCGTTGGGTTCCGGAATTGCCTTGGCGGTTTGGGTTTCTTCTTGTCCTCTTTGCCTTCAAGTCGGTTTTGCTACGACGCTGTGTCCGCATTTCATCAAACTTTCGTGAACCCCCTCGTTCCTTTGTCCATGAATTTCCCTACAACGACACGCATCGGATTGCAGGTCGAGGTCCAAGTCATGCCGTAAGTGTGCTGGCAATCACAGTACCAGTGCTTGGCAACTCGTTTTTCCATTTGCCCTGCACTGAGTGCACTCGCATGTTCTTGTTGTTTTCGACAACTTTCTGAGAGACGGCGATCTGATACTTGCACTTGCAGTCTTGCACTCTATCCCAGTACGCGGGTTTGCTGTACGCTGTTTGTTTTCGGACCCCAAAGTTAGGGGTCATAGTAGGACCATATAAGGCTACCCGACCCTCCATTTTTATCATCAAATATGGAAGGCACTTTACTTGAAGGAGTCCTTGTTGCGTTGGCTGCATCAAACGCGTGCTTTACCCATTCAAACCACATCCAAATCCTCGGCTCATGAGACTGTGTCTGCGTAGGCACTAGTTGTACAATGAAAAGATCACAAGACTCCGTATCTTCTCCTTCAAAGTTATCCAATAACAAAAAGGCCAAAGTGGCGCCTAACCAGGTGGTGCATCACGCGAGCACAGCAGGCGAAGGTGATGCTGGTGAAGGGGAATGGACCCGCGTGGAAAAACGCAAGGCCAAAAAGAACAAGAAGGTCGAGGCCAAACACGATGTGTGTCTTATTAGTGCCTTCCTTTGTCGTCCACAGCTTTTTTTGAATGAGATATATGTTTCTCCCTGGTTTTAGGCACTGATGCCCAGATTCATGTACGTGAACGGTGAGATCGTAAAGAGAAAAGATGCTATCCATGTGAACGTGAGTAGCTCGCTTTAGGAGTTTTTGAACAGATTAACGTTGCGTTGTCGTTGCAGGATGTTCGAGATTTGGTGTTACACTTGGTCGCAGATGCACCTCCACCTAACTGGGTCAAGGTCGAGGTCTGTCTTGACAAGGTTCATCTCTAGATCATGTCTGACCGTCATCTGTGCAGCACGCCCGATCAATTGAAAAAGTCGTAGCACTCCTCATACCTGGAATTCTTCCTTCTACATTGGCTCTTCCACCTCTGCCAACCTCAGCAACCTCTAATCCAAATGTCCCACTATCAATCCCTCTTCCTGCAGAATCGCACACTCCCATTCCCTTCATCGCATCTACTTATAGTCATGCGTGCCCAACGCGTGCTCCAGGCGACCAAACTCGGATGTACTCCGTTCTCAGCGAGTTCTTCCAATGTCAGGTCACTCCACAAGAGAAAGCCAAGAGGCAAGCACAGCGAGCCTGTAGGTGTGCTATCTGTCTCATTCTTCTCAAGGCTGACGACGGCCTCGTGTAGCACAACGTGCCTTCGACAACACGCCAGCATTGTATGAGTTAACGTTGAAAGAGATGATAGAAAACGAGTACCCGATTCCCTCATACATGGCTGATGTATTCGAAAAGGGACCCGGTTGGATCGAGACTCCACAGGCATCTGAGGAATCAATGCTTCTTCTTCCAGCAGATAAGCGGGAATCAAAAATATATGCCATCGACTGTGAAATGGTACGTCACTGCACAGCCGCATGTAGGATCACTAACTCGAACCAAACCCAGTGCTTGACAGAGGATGGCAAAGAACTTACTCGAATTTGCATGATCGACTACGAGAGCGGAATAGTCGTATTTGACAAACTCGTCAAGCCTCCCAAGCCAGTCATCGACTACATGACAAAGTAAGAGGAATCTAACATCTCATGATCAAATCCCGATTTTGAACCATGTGCTACTAGATGGTCAGGTATCACGGAATCTCTGCTCGCATCAGCTACGACAACTGTGGCTGAAGTCCAAGCACAGCTCATGCCCATCCTCGCACCAAAAGATGGACCGACTTCCATCCTCGTCGGACACTCCCTTGAATCTGACCTCCGAGCTCTCCGGATCTGCCACCCGCGGTGTATCGATACCGCGGTCATATTCCATCACCCCCGCGGGAGACCGTTAAAGCCGGGGCTTGCGTGGCTCACCAAAAAATGGCTGAATCGCGAAATCCAGACTCGGGGTGATAGCGGACACGACCCCGAGGAGGATGCACGGGCGTGTATTGACCTCCTGCGGGCGAAGCTGAGATATGGCCCTACCTATGGGGAGTATAAGACCGATTTTGAGAGCATATATGAGCGTATGGGGAGGGCAAGTGGGAGGGGAGGACCGGGGTCTGTGCGGAGTGCAGTGGTGGACCACGGGAACCCTGGTGTGATGCATGGGTCAAAAGCCACATCGAATGTACCCTGTACCAGCGACGAAGAAGTACTCGAGGGGCTGCTGCAGGCTATTCCAGCACACGAGTTCACATTCGGACGGTTTACCGGAGTCGCAGATGCACTGGGTTGTGAGTACCATGCACCTGCTCACTCTATTATATATGCTTACGATTTGTAGGGTTAACACCAAAGACTACGGCTGGAGAGACGCCTGTCACACCAGCTGAACCATCCCCCACCGTTCTCACCAACGCCCAAGCAACCCTTAACAACCAGCTGATCACCCTCTACACATCCCTCCCTGCACGAACGGCATTGATAATCTTCACCGGCCACTCAGATCCCCGACGCATGGCCAGCTTAAATGCCAGGAAATCGGCATTCGAGTCTGCTATTAGGAGCGGGAAGAAGGCTGAAGACATCGACAAGGCAGATTGGTGGACGGCTAGTGATGGACGGGAACTCGAGGAGGAAGTTGAGAAGGCGAAGAGGGGATTATTGTTTTTGGGAGTCAAGTGAGGTGCAAGAGATGAGTTGTTGGACTCGCATTGCTGTCTTGTTACTGTCTCTCGGCGGTTCATTCTTGTGCATGCATTTCTGCTTTGGCATATTTTGACCATTCGATTTTGTTGTTCATTCGTCCCAGTCGAGACCCAGCACTCCTTCCTTTCCACCTCGTACAGCAGCTTCTACGGCTTCTGCGAGTTGTCTCAGTGTCCTAGTGTCTTCGTCCAACTCTTGAGGTCCCAATAAGTCATTCTTGAGCTGTCTAGTATCAACTCCAAGGGCGCGATGTAAGGCATCTTCTCTATCTGCGCCTCTGAGCTTGTCAATGGAAGTGAGGAGCTCTGGCAGACGAGGATTTGACTCCAGCGCGTGACGCACAGCAGCGGAAGTAGCTAACAAACAGAGACACTGTTGAACGCATGAAGTAGGAATTGGTGAACGGACATACCAATAGCTTCGTACTGGTGAAGTTGTATTGGCCTTGGGTCATCACGTTTCAATGGGTCGGGATATGCTGACTCTTCGGGCACGTATGGCCAGTTGAGAGAAGTGAGAGGGCGTAGCGGCTTTGGATCATCAACCGTCTCTTCCTGTTCTGCGGCTTCTGCAGATGATGGCGGTAGCGCTGGACCTCTGTGTGAGCAAGGCTCTAGGATGAAATGAAGGAAATTCACCTTCGCGGGTCACGACTGAAGTTTCAGCAGAGCCGCAAGATTCTGTGGGGTAACTTTTTCGATGAGATCTATCGAAGCGTTTTCTTTTGGGTTGGAATGACATACCTTTATGGCGTTTGTAGCATCCTACGGAGCAGCTGAATATTGATATTAGCATCGAGCAAGCAGCTTGAAACGCGATGAAGGTTTTGGGTGAACGTACTAGACGGTTGCTCTGCATTTTGCACATGTATACTTTGATTCGGTTTCTTGACAGACATGGCATAAGTTGCGAGATCGAGGGGGCATCTTCGACAAGTCGACGTGGACTGTAGCAAGTGTGGACTGTTGGACTCAAGTTGGACTTGGACTTGACTTGGACTTATTGGAGATTTCGCGTGGCACGTGACTTTTGAATCCACAGTGTCCCGGATGTTTTACACTGTCGGTTTTGGACCGTCATCGGAATTCAGCTTGCTTGCTCTCCACGACATAAGCAGCAGCGGCAGTGTCATTTTCGTTTCATTATTCGACCATAACCGAACCACTCCCAAGGATGGAAGACGTAACATATGTCGGCAGCGGGAGGTCAATCGACATCGAGCTAGGTGGACAAGAAGTCATCACTATCGATCTTGACAACCTCGATCCGAACCCGGAAGATGTATTGGATCTCTTGAAGGAGGGGCAATGTAGAGTATCTGTGTGGACAAAGCTAGCTGGCGAGTACTGGCGAAGGGGATACCTAGCAGCTGCCGAAAGAATAGCCCACTCTGCCATTGAATGTACGTCTCCTAGGTCAAGTTCGTCATGTACCTTACCTGAACGTATCCACAGCATTACAGGCAAACGGAACGACAGCTTCCTCTCCTCCTATATACGCCCTCCTTGCAAATATCCAGATAGCTCATGCTCAAAAGGCCCCCAAATTGGTGCTTTCAGAAGCTCGTGAGCTCCGTCATGTTGAGCTTTAGGGCGCCACTGACATGTCATAGGCGAGGACAAACTGACGAATGTGCGTCCGAAGGAAGAGTATTACCGTGAAGCTGCTCAGTATCTCAACACGGGCGAGAGGGCTGCTGCTGAAGGTGGCGAGGGTGTGGGCGGAACTTTGGCATTCTTGACTCGAGGTACTGCGCTCGCTTCGTTTAGTCTCTGGCTAGCTTACCGTTTTCTACAGGGATACAACAACTGGCCACAAGGTCTATGGATGATGCCATGCGCTCCTTTGAGGGTGTGCTGGCTGAGAAACCCACTAATGTTGTGGCCCTCCTCGGTAAAGTAAGGTTATTGCCCTGCGGTCCTAGGTTGTTGGTGACACCTTAGTGTTAGGCTCGAATTCTCTATGCTCGAAGGAGTTATCCTCAAGCACTCAAGCTATTCCAACAAATTCTCCAACTCAACCCGCAATGTATCCCTGACCCACGCATTGGTATCGGACTATGTCTATGGGCAATGGACTACAAATCAAAAGCGAAAGCGGCATGGCAGCGAAGTTTAGAAGTTGTGAGTGACACCGCGCGTGGGACACCATCAGGTAGCTGAACCAATTCCGTAGAATCCGACAGATTGGCCAGCGCAACTTTTGCTCGGACTCGAGTCTATTAACGCGAGTAAGACCGAAAATCTCAGCGAGCAAGAACGTGCACAGGCGTTCCTTGCTGGCACAAAATTCATAGAGAAGGCTTTCAACGCCAACCAAAAGAGCGCTGCTGCCGCTAATGCGCTATGCGAACTTTTCCTCAGGAAGGGTAGCTACAAACGAGTATGTGATTTTTCATTCTTTAGAGAACGCACTTAACGTCACATCATTAGGCTCTGAAGCTTGCGGAGCGCACCATTCAGTTCGCTGATACCCTTACGCTGCTAACAGAGGGAAACCTTAGAGCTGCTCGGGTGCTGCATGCAGAGGGCTCTCTCAAAGAAGCTACCAAGTATTACACGACAGCCACAGATGGCCAACCAAAACATGTTTTAGGCGCCATCGGCATGGCACAAATGCAGATCCAGAACGGTAAGCTGACCTGAGCGGAAAAGTGGAAAAGGCAACTCATATCAGTTTCAGATGAGATAGCTGCAGCAATCCACACCCTTGATCTTCTTCTGCAGCCTCCGAATCCCCAGCGTTCCGTCGAAGCAATGGTCATGCTCGCTTCTCTCCGCGCACACCCCCGTCCAGGTGTTTCGAGCTCAGACTTTGCTCAAGAAAAAGCTAAAGCCCGTGAGTTATTCGACCGCGCTATCAAAGCTCTCGAGCAAGACGACTCTCGTGCATCCAATGGTCACGTCCCGCAACATACAGCCAGTTATATCAACGATGACTTGGACATGCATGTCGAAATTGCACGGCTTTGGCAAGAGGAGAGTCTCGACCGGACAACGCGGGCGCTTAAGGAGGCGCTGCGGCTTAGCGAAGCGAACGAACAGACCGACCCACGGCTGCTCAATAATATGGGCGCTCTCCAGCATATGGAAGGCAATCTAGCAGAGGCACGGGCCTTGTATGAAGACGCACTCACCAAGGCAGCTGGCTTAGGTCCGGATGTTGGAGAGGGAATGTCAACATCGATGTTATACAACCTCGCACGGGTGTACGAGGACGGTGGCGACGTTGCAATGGCGAAGGAAGCATATGACAAACTCTTAGCGAGACATCCGGAGTATGTCGATGGTGAGTGCAGGTAAATAGCACTTGTGTCTCTGTCTGATTGTCCTTCAGCCAAGGTTCGACAAGCGCAGATGCTAGCTGATCTTAATCAGTCAAACGAAGCACACGACCTCTTGAAACAAGCCATGGCGTCGCAAAATAGCAACCTCAATGTCCGCGCGTTCTACACCTACTTCCTCATCCAAAGTAATTTCCCGAAACCTGCCAAAGATTTCGTCTTCGCTACCCTCAAGGATCACGACAAGCATGATGTCTATTCATTATGTGCCGCTGGTTGGATTCAATACCATCAAAGCCGGGAAAGTCGAGACCCAAGTCCGAAGGGCTTGGAAGAACGGAGACGTGGTTTCCAGCGCTCTGCTGAGTTCTATGATAAAGCTTTGCTGTTAGACCCGCTCTGTGCGTTTGCGGCTCAAGGACTGGCCATCGTGACTGCGGAGGATGCACTCGGGACCTTCGGAGGTGGTCCAGCTACTTCTGGTGGAGACGATCCACAAAAACGAATGAGGAACGCAAGAGATGCCCTCGACATTTTTGCCAAGATAAGGGAGTCCCTCAACGACGGCAGCGTGTACCTGAACATGGGACATTGCTATTATGCTCGAGACGAGTTTGATCGTGCAATTGAAAGTGTGAGTCTTCCACGAGTCTATCTCATTGCTCTACAAGTGGATTGACGTGTTCGTGCCCTAGTATGAGACAGCATCTGTACGATTTTACAATGGCCACAATGTTTCTGTGCTCCTATGTTTGTGTCGAACGTGGTATGCAAAGGCTAGCAAGGATCAGTCCTTTGTTGCTATGAGTACAGCGCTTAAGTACGCACAAAAGGCACGATGATATTTCTATCCCTCACTCCTACCAGCGCTAATGATTTTGATAGGCCCTCCACTTACAACCGAGCGACAAGGCCATCTTGTACAACATCGCCATGGTTCAGCAAAAGGCTGCGGAGCTGCTATTCGGCCTGAGCCCGTCGAAGCGTACTCTGAAAGATCTGGAGTGGGCGATACTGCAGGCCGGGCACGCGCAACGGTGAGATACTTATATTCATGTTGTCGTGGCTCCGATTAAATAAACATCGTCAGATTGTTTGCTTCTCTCGCCGCAGACTCTGCTTCGGTCGTACCATACAGCCGTGATATCGCAGATCAACGTAGGAAATACGGCGAGAGTATGCTGAGAAGAGGAGATGAGCATCTGGCGACACAGAAAGAGTTCGAAGCTGAAGCGCAGGCGAAGCTTGTAGCTGCTAGGCAGAGGAGACAAATGGAGAGGGACAAGGTGGAGGCTCATGAGGTACGTGCATCCTGATTTCGTTCAAAGTTCCATATCTGAGTTACTTTCGCAGCGAGAAACCAAGGAGGAACTCCGCCGTCAAGGGGAAAAGCTTGCAGAAGAGCGTCGTAAGGCGAGGGAACAAGCTCAGGAATGGACGAGGGAGGTTCAGATGGAGAGCGACGAAGAGCGTGAACGAAAATCCAAGAGGGCCGCTAAAAAGGTCAAAGTCGAAGGGGAGAGTGGAGATGAAGGGGCTGAGCCCAAGAAGAAGAAGAGAAGCGGAGGCAAGCTCAAAAAAGCCATCGATCAGGATGTCGACAACGAGCAGCTCTTCAGCGATGATGAAGTCGACAGTAAACCAGCAAAGAAGGTATGGCGTTCCGACCCAGCCCGACTGCAAAAATACTGAATTTGTTCAATCAGCGTGTCCCGAAAAAACGAGTCGTCAGAGATGATGACGACCAGGATGCTGTTGGAGGACCACGCAAAAAGCAATAGTACGTGAGGCATCTATATTTCATTTACTTTTGCTCATTTTCTTCCGCCAGTAAAAGCAAGGAAATTATATCGGACACTGACGATGAGGAGATGTCATGATATCGGTAGAGTCCCGAGTATTGTCTATGTTGCTTTCATTTGCGTTGGGCATCTGTTGAGATACCCTCGCCATTTTTATTTGAAGCCCGGAATCGCTTCGTGTAAATATATCCTGTAGCATACTAGCACCTATATTCGATTCTTCCGTCTTTTCTACAGCTCAGTAGCTGCCTACATAGAGAAGAGCAAGAAGCCGTAATTTAGATGTACTTGGCTGTCGATTGCTTGTGTAGTTTTATGCTTACACGAGGTTGGTTTGCATAGACTGATGCAGTGTGGGCCGAGCTGCGCAGAGACTCTGAAGCTGAAGCGCTGAAGATTCATACGGATCGAGCTGATGTACTACACCGCGTCGCTTGTGGCAGGCCCCCGGAAGCTCCCCCATATGTCTGTCCGCCCATCGACCTCATTTTGGCTCTCAAATCTGCTATTTTTCGGGTGTAAAATCTGCTATTCCGGACAGACATGTCACGTGTCACACGGTCTGACATATGTGACACCGCAGCAAGATGTGACACGACGAAGAACACATAGTATCTCAGTGAACAAGAGTGGTATGTAACGACGGATGCATCCCAAGCACACCCATTGAATACGTATCTGTGATATAGCATTAAGTAGAATTAAGCTTTCGTGATCCTACCCCCAGAAATCTTGAGTCTAGGCAATTTTTGCTTAACCTGTGGTGCGGTCAGGGTTATCCAGTGGCGAGCATTGGCATTGGACAGTTCCAATGCCCATGAGTTTGTTCCTTTGAGAGCCCCTTTGCCAATGTGATAGAGAATGCTGCTTGCAGGAGCATGTGTATGGGTCTCGTACTGGTAGCGGCTGGGAAGACGGGAAAATGATGGGACAGCATCGGGCGACACATCTTCGTCTTCATAGAGCATGTCATCGGCATTAGAAGCAGCAGCCTGAAACAGCGAACGTGTTAGAACAAATATTATGGCGCAGAATTTACTCACTGCAGTCTCCAGTGGAAGGTAAACTCGAAGTGAGAGAAAGGACAATGTGGAGACACTCGTCGTGGATTGAATGGAACCTCGTGCGAGGTATTTTTGTGCCTCCGGAAATCAGGCTGCGTAGATCACTGTACACTAGCTCAATGTTGCGAATCCTTCAGACTTGATATTGAGCATTGCGGGGTATTGGTACATCCATGGATAGCTCGGGAAGGCTGCGAGAAGCACGGAAATGAAAATACGGCAGGCGCTGGTCCTCGCTGGTCTGTGTTGGTCTCAATTGCTGTCTGACAGTTGACTGTCATTTTCCTATATTTTGTGATTGACGGCGCCTGACAGGTGCCGGCCGGCCGTCAAAAATCTGCTATCTAAGGACAGACCTCAGGTAAACTCAGCCTCAAATCTGCTATCTTAGGACAGACATTTGGTCAAATTTTGCTCTGAAATCTGCTATTTTGCGGACAGACATTTGGCGGAGCTTCATCACTAAATAGAAGGTAGCTCGGTATGACCTGATGCTGATTACATATGATAATCCAGTCTATAGTCATAATGATACATCTAATGTACTGTAATGACCGAGAAAAGTCGGGTACAAAAATGGGGTGAATGACCTTGGTGTTCTCAGCTATCGCAGGGATGTATCAATGGGATCCTCCATTCCGCTTCTCTACCCATTTAGGTCATGTATCTGATACATCGGCCTTTGACTCACCAGTTGTCCTATCATACTGATGTATCCGTTTGGTGGACAGGGATGTATCAATGGGATCCTCCATTCCGGTGCTCCACCCATTCAGGTCATGTATCTGATACATCGGCTTCTGACTCTCCAGTTGTTGTTATCCTATCGTACTGATGTATTCGTTTGGTGGATCATCCTAGCGCAGGCACTTCCGGGGCTTGTATCCATCCTTCTTGAGATGTATCTGGTTGAACTCCCTTTGCTCCGTCCCTTACTGCCTATCATGATGTATCTTTTATGTTATCATGCTGACTTGATGTATCCGTTGGGTGGATCATGCTAGCGCGGGTGCTTCTGGGGCTATGTATCTGTCCTTCTCGAGATGTATCTGGCTGATCTCCCTTTGCTTAGTCCCTTACCTATCATGATGTATCTGTGCTTCGGTCACCGGGAGGACTATGTATCTATCTATCGCTATGTATCTATTGTAAGCTTTTGCCTTCAAGTCAGATGGTGCTCCGTCCCAGGACCCTTACCTACTGGACAATGTATCTGTACTTTGGTCACTGGGGCTATGTATCCATCCTCATTTTTGCCTTCAAGTCAGATGCCCTGAACGACCCCGCGATATTTGTAAACTAGCGCAATCTTCTGAATTTAATCACCATTGATAGCACATGGGCACGTCATGTTCATTTTCAGATAGTCTTAATACTCATTGATACAAAGTGTTTTCTTGAGACCACATGCAGAATATATTCGAGCGTGGACGTAACTGCAAACTTTCATAGATACATTATTAACGGGATACTCAAAAGCATCATACGATCAAAGGGAAGTGAAAGGAACTACATGTAACAATGTAACGACTTAGGTATTTTTTTGCTTCCTGCGCAAAGGTAATGAGTTGTGAAGCATGTGAAGGTGTAAGAACACTGAGTACGACTTACTTCCTGCATGCACTGTTAGCACCAGAACTCCCCCGTTTTTTAGAGCCGGCGTTCTCTGACCCAATCGAGTTTGCAATTTCGTTGCGCTTGGAAATCTGCCGGACTCGTTTGCTACGACTGCCAATCAATGGTGCGGCCTCTGCGGAGGTAGACTTGGAGAGAGACTGCGGGTGCGAACGGAAATCAGTGTCCTCTGTGATGAGATCCGTCATCGCAGGTACAGTCTCCGCAGAGGTAGACTCGGAGAGAGGCTGCGGATCTGGATTAGCCAGGTGCGAATGGGAATCAACAGAATTGTTGATGAGATCCGTCATCACGGGTGCAGCCTCTGGCAGGCCCTCTGCAGAGGTAGGCTCAGAGAGAGGCGGCGGTTGGGATTCAGCAGGTGTAAGTGGCTTTGGCATGGGAGGGGTAGATGCTAGGGCGGATCCATGTGTGGTATATAGCGGTGTTTGCAAAGTCGGAATTGCCTGAGGAGCCACATATGTTCTCAAGAACTCGTGGTATCCTTCCACAGATAGCATCGAAGAGGCACCGTCAAGGTCCAAGTCCGTAGAAGCAGAAGTTGAATGCGAAGGATATGAAGGGAGCGCCTTTAAAGTGAGGTCGTTAGAAGCAGAAGTCGACTGTGAAGGATATGGAGGGAGCGCCTTTAAAGTGAGGTCATCGTCATCAAAAAAGGATGTGAGTGGTTCGGATATATGAGGAAATAAGATGTCTGAGGATGACGCCATTGTTAAAGCATCACGTGGGATATTCCCAAAGGCACCATCAGATGTATCTGCAGGCGTCTGCGATACATGTCCATCAGAGCTTTCTTTCCATAGCTCAGGCTCTAGCGTTGGTTGTCGACTCGCACCCCAAACATTTCCTTCTTCCTTCGCCGTTGCGACCGCTATCAAGCCCCAAGTCAGAAACATTCCGAGTTCCGGTTCCACGGACTTACGAAACACACGCTTAACGAACTCTTTCCATGGTCGCATGATCCCTGAGTTAAACTCAGGATACGCGAGGTCGAACTGATTCCCAATTTCAGTTGCACCAACATGAAAACTCTGGACATCAATCTGCCCGCCCATTGCTGGTGTTGGGCCACCCATAAGAACCGTGAAAACGAGACCAGTGAGTCTCTGGAGCTCGTCGAAGAACTCAGTGAGGACACCAGGTAGTCTATCGATATATCTGGAGATGCGAGTTTTAGGTGAGTGCTTTTATCCACTTAGATATTGTAGACGCAACTAACACTTGATGGTCAACTACCCCTGCACCCTTCGCCTCTTCCCACTCTTGCTTCTTCTTTTTTTTGGCTTCTTCGATGAACTCCGCCACCTGTTGTTTGACTTCATCGGACGCTGATTGATACAGTAGGCTCGTTTGCTTCCTGATAATGGATATGTTTGATGGCATCTTGACAGTTGTATTCTCTGCTGCAGCATTTGCCACCGCTTCGGCCTTTGCTGTCTCAATGGCGAGATCAAGAGTAGGTTTTATCACGTCATCGAAGAAAAGCTTTGAAAACGCCTCCGTCACCTGCGGGCCACGAACATGCTTCGAACTGGTCATCATCTGAGCAACCATGCTCTTTTTATAGGTTACGGCCGGTGTCAAGGATGTGCTTGCTGCGGCTACATCTGCGGTCATCATTTTACTATTGCGGTTTTTGGTTCGACGATTGACCTTAGATGAGCCCATGTCGTTTTTGAACTTATTCATAATTTGCTGACAAGTCAACGTTCTCGTAAGCGCTTGCTTTCGACTTATGAATCACGGTAACGTACCTGTCGACGGTGCTCAACAGCCTTGCCTACCTCGGTCTTTTGCTCAACGGTTAATTCAACATCAAGGGGGACGTCCTTAAAGACACGAAGCCGTTCGGGGAATAACGAAAACCACTCCTCAAAAACCGGCTCCCAAAATCCACTATAGCTGCGCTTGGCTTGACACGCTTGGTATTTGGCAGAGTGTGACTGAAAGAACCTCTCTTCCTCAATGGTAGCCCACTTTGGTGGCGCCATCTATTATTATTATTTTCATGGTGAGTGACATAATAAGTATATGGGTATCTCGTTAACACGCACTTTTTGTCCGAGATATCGTACTTTGTGCGTCGACGGGCAACCGAAATGAAAAGAAGAATGAAGCTTATTTGACCAGGAAGTAGGTGTTAGTGATGTGCGTGGTGCACAGACCATCGAAGCCCGATGATTTATATTCATTGCAAGATTTAGTTGGTCGATTTCCTATCTATGTACCGTGTAGCGCCGGGACCTATATATTGTTGCTTATATCGATTGTCATACTGCTCAGGACAGCTTTGGTGAACGCAAGAAGTCCATTCTCTGTGATATTACCCTCCTCGCAAGAAATTAAATAATCAAGGGATGGTTTGTACAATTGGACGTCTGTGGGTCGGCGGTGGCGAGCGCCATTGAGTGGCTTGTAACTCTATATGAGTTTCGGTCCGACTGCATCAAGTTCTACCAGTGCAGCTTTAGTGAATGCGAGAAGTTCATTCTCTGTGATATTTCCCTCCTCGCAATAAACTGAAAGAAATTAAAGATACCTCCAGTAGTTTGTACAGTTGGAAGTCTGTGGTTCGGTGGTGGCTTGGGCCATTGAGTAGCTTGTAACTCTATATGAGTTTTGGTCCGACTGCATCGAGTTCTATTAGTACAGCTCGAGTTTGATTAGTATAACTGTGGTGAATGCGAAAAGTCCATGTTCACGATGTCAGTATATCTCACATATACTATGAGCATTGATTAGCTGCATTGGATATCAGTTGGTGTTGGTGTTGCTAACTAGTAGGTATAATTGTTGTATGATTAGTTTCGGTCCGACTACCAAAGGTTCGTGCAATACTCAAGAAGCTATGGTGCTCACTGCTTCTTTTCAACCATTCCTACCAACCACCACCACACCGCTACACCTCTGGAGCTAAAATCATGCCGCGTCCTCTTATTCATAAGACACTTGAGGAAAAACTGCAAGCAGGTCGTGAAAAACGCAGACGCCATTATGCAAAGTAGGTCTTACCGTTTTTATTAATTGTCTCCGGTGGTTCCTGACTGGCCGACCAATTGAAGAAACCGCGACAAAATCCTAAGACGGCGAAGGGAGCTTCGCGTTGAAAAGCACATGGGCCCATCGGAGCTTGAGCAAGCCATTGCAAGAGCTCTGCATGGATCTGGCTCGGACAAAGATGGTGACTCGGATGAGTCGGAGACAGACAATTCCAGCGACATTGAGGAGAATGACGACCCACTGTACGTTGTTTTATAAATAGAAAATGAAATTAACATGAAATTCACATCCCACAGATCGGATCTTACAGGATGTCTGCTCACGCTCAAAGTGATCAAAGACGAAATGTTGACATTGATTCCTGAACCCTGTGCATTTGCTGAGGGCGTCTTGCTTCAATTTGTCAACAGCATCACTTATACCGACGACCGTGCTGATGATGGTGATCGAACCATCGTCACCAACATGATACCCATGGTCCAAGGCTTGCTCAACCGCTCCATTCCTGTTCAAGATCAAATCCTCAATTTTTGCGGTGTCTCACCTGAGTTTCATGCTGCTGACACAGTCAGTCGTTACCTCAGTACCACGCTTGCATACTTGGAAGATATCGAGTTTTTCTTCCTCGTGGAGGGAGTTTCGGAGCTGTGTGTTGCTCACTCGCTGGGCGAGTTGATGTATCAGAAGCGGCTTCGTGTTTGAGTGGCCTTCACGCAGTAAGATATCGGTTGATGTAACGTAGCTTGATTTCATTGCATGTCAGTACAACAGATAGTCGGTTCAAGAATACTACGTTAATTGTAGCGCTGCTGATGCGCCAGTTCCTGACTCTGCCGCTGCTGCTTGTTCCCACCTGAAGTCCACTCGCTGCAGATCCCATCACGACAATTCTATCGGCAAGAAAGTCTTGTAGACGAGAGCGAGCCCAGCATATAACACTTTGATAATCTTGTAACTGTGATTCAAAATCAACAACATTTAATCAAAGATAAGGGAGGAACATAAAGCTTAACTTGTACGCGAACAAGGCTGGGCACCTTGACCGTTCTCCATAATTCCAGAGAGAGACGAAGACGGTGAGGAAGTAATAACAGAACAGAGAGATAAAAAGAAACAGGCTTGTACAGTACCTCAGTCCCGCCCAGACCTAAGGCCATGCACCCATACTAGTCAGTGTTGCTGTCAAAGCAAGTGTAGTGAGGGCCTTAAACACACTAATGATCATGAGTAGATTTTTCTTGACATTCCACAGGCGGGAACTCAGATGTTGAAGCAGAGAAGGGGAGTGTTGGTACCTTGCGTAAATGGTGCGCTGACAGCGGAAAAACATATGAATCGAAATTAAAAACATACGAATCAAAACATAACATGTTGCCGGGCGTGCGGCGACACCATATAAGGAGATCCGTTCTGGAACGGATCACATGAACGTCCGGAAATTACCGGTCATAGAAACCTCGTCAAGCAAGGCAATCCACTGGCAGCAAAATCAGCAGAATGAAGCGTGGACGGCCGTCTAAAAGACCTCGACTGAGCCAGTATATACAGCACTCGCATGATGACAACACAGAGTATCTTCGGCATCGCTCTTTTGGTGTCAGTGACAACGGTTCTCTGTCCTTGCGAACCACATTTGTGGTATCTCAACCTGGCGTAGCGCAATCAAGTCCTGAACCATCATTTGATGCCTGGGAGGAGACACTGCCAAACGAGCCCAATGACCTGTCCTTTGAGAACGTGGACTCAATTCAAGACACTGCCGTGAAAACAAAAAGAATACAAGTATGTATACTCAAATTTCTTGGCTGTCAAGCTAATGTTTGACAGAATGTACCCTTGCTTCAATGGATACCTGAACGGTCTTCATACCTAGATGAGATCATACGTCTAGAGGGCCGCGGTGATGAAATCGCTCGAGAGACATGCGGTTGCAATGGCGAAGAACCTTTACTTTACCGCTGCAGGGATTGCTTTGGAGTGGAAATGCTGTGCCGTGCATGTATTCTTCAACGGCACGCACATAATCCACTCCATAGAGTTGAGGTACGTTCATCAAGCATTAATTTGAGCTGCTGGACTAGACAACTCACTTGCCCTTAGGAGTGGCGCAGCACGTTCTTTGCGCGAGTCTCCCTGAAGCTGCTCGGCTTGCGTATCCAGCTGGGTCACAATCCGGGCCAGAAGTGCTATAATCCTGAACCTGCCGCTGGCGATGATTTCGTTGTCGTAGACGTCCACGGTATCCACGAAATTGGCCTCGACTTTTGCGGCTGTGAAACGGCCCAAATCCACTACAAACAGCTTATTCGTGCTCGATTGTTTCCAGCTACTGCAACGAATCCTCAATCTGCCGCCACATTCGCACTCATGGAGTTCTTTCACCTCCTCACCTTTGAATCAAAGGTATCCGCTTATGAATTTTACCACAGTATTGCGAGACGGACAGATAACACCAGCACCACACAAATTAGGGTACGTCTGCATTAATACTATTGGCTGATCTTCTGCTCACCGCTATTTCAGGATCGATATTCAGCCTTTATGCGAATGGTTCATCAGTGGCGCCACCTCAAGGTGCTCAAGCGAGCAGGAAGAGGCCACGATCCCAGCGGCGTGAATGCAACTTCCGCTGGCGAATGCGCCGTACTCTGTCCAGCATGCCCTCACCCTGGGAAAAACCTACCCGAGGGCTGGGAGGATGCATCGCATGATATCAGGTATGTGTGGAGGCACATTTATTGCTGGGCGTTTGCTAATAATATTCATTAGATGGAAGTATGCTCTGTTCCTCGCTATCGACGCGAATTTCCGGCTCAAGCGGAAGCTTGTCTCGAGCGATAATGTTGATCCGAGTCTCAACGCTGGCTCATGCTACTTTGTCGAAGAGAACGCGTACAAACAATATCTAAGCGAGCGTGGTTGTGAGCCACAGGAGGTACGTTAATATTTCACTGTTGCGCACACTTAGGCTGAGCATGTTCTGTTTTTATCACAGAAAAGCACATGTGTCAGCCATAATGCCGTGAACATGGCTGACACGAAGTCATCGAGGGGGCTTGCAGCCACGGGCGTTGGGACCGTGGATTGCGCAAGACACGATATGAAACTTCCTAACGGAGTCGGTGATTTGCAAAAAGGTGAAAGGTGTGTTTTTCAATCATTTTCTCGAGCCTCGTCGAGCTAAGCCTGGTACTAGATACCTAAACATGGACTATCTAGTGTTTTCAGTGATGGTCGGGTTTGCCGTAGTGGTATTCAATCTATCCTACGACATTGCATGCCAATGGCATAAAAAACTATGGCCCCGCATGGCATTGATGCCACCCCGACTGCACCTCAACCGCGATAACAAGATCATTCGTTTTTTTGTGCCGAAATTTCATCTTAACGCTCACATTCAATCGTGTCAAACAGCATTCTCATTCAACTTTGGGAAGAACGTTGGACGTACCGATGGGGAAGCACCTGAAAGAGGGTGGGCGAACATTAATCGCGTGGCGTCAAGTACCAAGGAAATGGGGCCAGGTGCACGCCGCGATACTTTGGACGACCACTTTTCGGACTGGAATTGGAAAAAGGTCACCATGCTCGGTAGGTTTCTGGCCGGACTGTTTCATTCACAATCTCACGTATTCGCAGGTCAAAGCATGCTACGCAAGGTCAAAGAAGCCTCAAGAAGAGCTAAGCTTCATCGAGAAGAGCTCAACGAACTTCAGCAATCGATCCCAGCATCATCGCTCTCCGTGTGGAAGTTGGAAATTGAGGCCTGGGAGGAGGATAACGCACAGCCCAACCCGTTCGAGAGCAGGGTCACCCGTAAGTTGTTTTCTCTACTCGTATGTCCGAAACTGACATTTGACAGCTATGACTCAAGCTGCTATACGCCGCCAGCTGGCCGAGAAGGAGGCTGCAGACTTACGAGCTGGTGTAGATGTCTCATTGCACGCTGACATCTCGCCAAGTGTCCTGATCGCATCAGGTATTGACTTACAGGATCAGCAGTAAGTATTCCAATGTCGTTGGAACCTCCTCTCACGAAAAATAATACAGACGGCGTTTGGCCGCGGACGTTTCTGCACTGGGTCAGCATGCGACCGACACACAGAAGACCAAGATATTCAATCAAAGCAATGCTCTACAACGTAGATTGGACAACTGGGCCCAAGTCCAAGCCCTTTACATGCCCGCAGTTGCCCCAATCCGCGCCACAGAGGATGCTTGTCGTTCGGAGGGCACTGCAGTACTCAAGCCAGAGAAATTTAAACTCTGGTTACCATCCCAGCTCGACCCACACCTTTCTTGCGACCAAAAACTTCGCGAATGTGAATGGGAACTCCGGTATGCTCAAGCCCATGACACATTGAACGATGTTCGACAGAACATCCGTCTATTCACCCACCTCAACACATTCAAGTTGGCGAATATACGCGGTCAACGTGCCTCCACTCGTGCGCGCAGCGCTCTTGATCACGCGGTTGAGAAGAAGCATGCCAGCAAGGCAAAATATGATGCCGCTCGGGACGCACTTCTTGCCCTCGCTCCCTTGCTAGGAAAAGTTGGCTGGACCGATATCTTACGCCCTCTTGGAGCAACGGACATGAGACCCATGGGTGACTTCATCCAGGGACAATCTGAAGGTACTCGTGATATACCGTGGATATGGAAGACACCCGGGGTGCTACGAGACAATGACGAGGGACTTCAAGACTGTACGTATCACAATCTTATTTGAACGTGCTGTGAAGTTGACGGATGGCTGGCAGGTCTTCGCATCGAGTGGTGCAAGGCAAGAGCGCGAGAGGCACGCTGGTCCGAAGAATTGCTGTTGTTGCTCGAAGAGATGCGGAGGGTGCTGACATTCTTAGCCTGGCAGAGTACGTGGTGGTCTGGACTGGCCTTGGCGCGCCATTTCGAGAGGTCGGCAGACAGCGAAGGATCCGCAGCATACGCAAACCGACAATCTGCACTCCGTAAAGCCATGTTGGAAAAATTCAAGCAACAGTGGGTCATTGTCCCTACCATCGTGACTGCTGAGCTGGATGACGATAGCTCACTGGGCACTGCTGATACAGACGGCACATTCACTATTGAAGGCCCTCCACCATTAGCTGCAGCAGAAGAAGATTAGTTATTCGTTATATACGAGTCTGTTGTATATATCTATATAGCTGTGCCTGTATCTAGCTAAGGTATACAAATATTAAACCCCCTGCCAACACGCAGTGCTAGTGTCGAATGTATCAGCCCGCGAATGTGATGTATCAGCTCGCAAATGTGATGTATCAGCTCGCAAATGTGATGTATCAGCTGTGATGTATCATGCATCTGACACTGTTCAGCACATGGTGAGTGAGTGCATTTTTGTACCCGATTTTTTGCGGTGCTACAAGAATTGATACATCTATCCTACAGCTACTGGTGGATAATCTACCAAGTTGTGTATATACATAGCTTGATATCAAGTTATAATGCTCGGGGCACTCCTAGTAAATTACTTCTTACACTACAGAACGCAGACTCGTAGACCATACTTCTCTCATTTCATATCTAAGGCTGGCAAGGGAAAATCATTTGTTCACAAGTGGACCACGTGTTAGCTAATAGCATCAACAAGAAATCATGTGACCAGAGCATTGGCTTGGTCTTGGCGATGGATAGAAATATCTGGTAAGAATTCCAGTGCAAC